GTTTATTATGAAATATAAAAAATATAGAGATAATATCTTCTTCAATACAGTCGAATTTCATTATTTAATTCCCGTTTAGAAAAGCATATATTTTATTTCTTATATGATTAAAATTAAAATTTTTAGCTCATTTAATGTATTTTTAGAATAATTTTTCAAAAGTTGTACAATTTAGGATTTTTGTAAACCTGTGTATTTTTTAAAATATATTTGTTAAAATCTATGTTTAGTGTCGTTGAATTAAAAATGCGATGTATTTTTTATCAAAGCTGCTGCATTCATCTAAAATTTATAAAATATCATATTTTATATGAATGATAATTTATTCAACTTATCAACTTAAGTGGTTTTGTTTTTTGTAGTTTACATTTTTTTTTTAAAGATTATAATAATTATATTTTTTATTATTTATTTATCAGCAAATAATTGAAAATAATAAAAAAAAATACTAAATATATTAATTTTAAATTATATTATTTTTTATGTAGACATGTTATAAAACAATTATAATCATTTTTATATTAATTAATATAAAATAACAAAATATATATAATTAAAATTATAATTATATACTTAAAAGAATATTAATTTATAAAAAATAAAAAAAATTATAGAAAATAATTTTCATTTAAATTGATAATATTTTTTATAGATTATAAAAAACATTTAGATAAAATTAAAATAAATAAATTTTTATTATATTAAAATAATAAAGAATATAATAAATTGATATAAAATAATAAAGAATATATATAAAAAAAATATAATATAATAATATATAAATATAAAATAATGAATAGAAACTTAATAATAATATGCATATGTATTAAAATATAATTTTTAAATAGAAATAATGACATAAAATATTTCAAATAACCAATTTTAATTTCTTTTTTTTATATAATTATTATGATAAACTAAAACAATATTTTATTTTAGTAATAACACGCGCGAAAAAATTAATTTTTTATCATTATAAATATTACATTTATCAATTAAAACTTAAACAAATAAAAAAACATAAAAAAAATATTATAGTAAAAAAATGATATAAATTAAAACTTAACATAGTTAATTAAATTAAAAAATAAAAGTTAGCATAAAGTAAGAAAAAAAGAAACTTTTATATTTAAATTAATATATAATAAAGTTTTTATAAAAATATATAAATATAATTAAAAATAGTTTATATATAATAATATTATATGTATATATTTATTTAAAAATATTAATATAAACTTAACAATGTATATATTGTTTTTTTCTTATATTTTTTAATATTTGGTTTTGTATTTTCAATCAAATAAATAAAATAAATTTAATTATTTATAAAGATAGTAAATTATTTTAAATATAATAATAATAATACTAAATAAAATATTTATTTATGAGTTATCAAATAATTATATTTTAATTTAAATAAATACAACATAACATACTTAATTCTATATACTATGCAGTTTATAGAATAAAATATAATGATGAACTTCTAAAAATGTTTTTGATATTTTTATTTTTTTTTAAAAAAAAATGATGATGAATTAATTATTTATAAAAAATTTAATAAGAATATATTTTTTAAATTAAAATTTTTAAGAAAATATATAATAAAAAAAATATAATATTATATAATATAATAAATAAAAAACTAAAAGTATGATATATTATTATTTAAATATTATATATTTATATAATTCTTATTACATCTACATAAATATATATTTTTTTTATTATTTATATTCTTAAAATTAATATTTAATTGGAAATTAATATATTTATTTTTTAAAATTATAAAATAATTTTTTCAAATAATTTGGATAATAATAATTATTATAATTATATTTAAATTATTATTAAAGGTTCATACATATTGTTTAATATAAAATAAATATATAATTTTACATTATAAAATTAAAATTAGGTTATTGTATTTAAATAAAAAATAGTTTATCAAAATAATTTCAAATTAAAATAAAAACTTAATAATTTCCAAATATATATATATTTTTTTATATAATATATATACATTGATTTAAATTACAAATGTTTATTTGCACAATATATAAAGAAAATAATAAATTTGAAAAATTAATATTAGAAATCTTAATAAATATAATTTATATATTTAATTTTAAAATTTTAGAATAATTAAAATTATAAATAAAGTGCCATTATATTTTAATAATTTCTTTTTAAAATTAATATTTTATTAAATCATTTAAATAAAAGTAATATTTTATATTTGTCTAAATTTTTTATAAAAAACAAAATAATTAAAAAAATTTAATAATTCTAAATATTTTTTTATATATTTACAAAAAATTTAAAATAAATATGGTTAACCGTAAAAGGCGCTAACAATAAAAAAACTAAGACAAATAAGAAATCAAACAATTAGAACCAAAATAAAGAAATAAAAAGTAAAAAAAGAGCACTTAAAACCCAAAACAGACTGAATAAAGTTTACAAATAGTAACAAAAATATAAAAAAAAGAGAAAAAAATATTATTAAATATATAAAATTAAAATATAAAAATGAAAAAATACAAAAAATACAAAAAAATAAATAATATAAATCATTAAAATAAAATAAAATAAGAATCCTTTTGTAACCTAAATTTATATATAATAAAGTAAGATTATGATTAATCAAAAGATATTTAAGATGAAGAATTAATATAAAAAATAACTAATAATGAAGAATAAAAATGCGTTTTAAGAAATAGGGCTTTAAAAGCAAACAAAAAAATAAATTTTAAAGCTGAATCAGATATATCAGAGGAAAACGAAGAAACAGAAGATTACCAAGATAATTCATAAAATGAAAAATCAAGTAAAAAAAAAAAAAAAAAAAATTAAAAAAAAAACGAATAGGAATACAAAAAGAAGAAGAATATAATTTATCATAAACTGATGCCAATGAAATATGGTGTTTTGTATGTAGAGATTAAGGAAATTTAATTTGTTGTGAAAATTGTTAACGTTCTTTTCATTTATAATGTGTAAATTTAAGCAAAGTTCCTCATTCGGTATGGTAGTGTTTCTTTTGTAGTCCCGAAGATGATATATAGGAATGTTGTATTTGTTAGTAATCTTTTGATGATAATTAAATTTAAGTAACATGCAGCTTGTGCTATAAATTAATTCATTTTTAATGCTTAAAAGTGCCTTTAAAATTACTTTTTGATTGTACTATGAATAAGGAATTCTGGTTGGAAAATATTGAAGAGGAAGAGAAGAATGAAGAAGAAGAAAGTGAAAATGAAAAGGCGAGAAACTTCGAATAAAAAATTATTGAGAGTTAAAAAAATTGTTAAAAATAAATTTTTTATTCATGTTTTAATTGTGTGAATAATTTCGGAATTGAAAAAATTAACAAATGTTCTAAAATTCAAAAATTTTCCTTTTATTTTTGCAAAATTAATTGTATTTTAGATATATTATTTATTTTATAGTAATAAAATATATATATATATAAAATAATAAAAATAGAAACTTCACATTTTCATAATTGTTGGCTTTCTGAACATTTTTTTATTGAAAATAAATTAACTCGTAAATTAAAAATATTTAATGAAAAACGAAAAATAATTGAAAATAATAATAATAATATGATAGAAGATTTATAAGCCTATCCTGAAGAAGATGAAGAGGAAGATACAGGATTGAAGATTGAAAGAATAATAGATTGTAAGAAACCATTAAAATTTGAATCTTTAAAATACAAAGAAATTCGAGAAATTTTATCCTAAAAAAAAGACAAAAAAAACAATATGAAATACGGGCATAAAGATAATTTTCGATTTTTCATAAAATGGCAAGATCTTCAATATGATTAGAGTACATTCGAAGATGAATTTATACTAATAAGAAAACAACCAGAAATCTTAGACTTTTTTTTCCGAATAAAAATATTAGAAGAAACCATAAATACTCCCCAATATAAAATTGAGAGAGAAAATATCACAAAAGAATTACGAGAATAATAAAAAGAAGAAAAAATCCCAAAAAAACAATTCAATAATCAATAATAATAGCCTCCTTTTTTAAAAAAAACAAATCAGCTTCATGTATTTCAAATCGAAGGCTTTAACTGGCTTTGTGACTGTTATAATAAATAAAATAATGTAATCCTTGCAGATGAAATGGGTTTGGGAAAAACTATATAAACAATATCTTTTTTAAATTATTTATATTATAATAAATAATTGGATGGTCCTTTTCTTGTAGTAGCCCCTTCTTCTACTTTATATAATTGGAATAGGGAAATTTCTATATGGGCAGATTAATTTAACGTATTAGTATATACAGGAAACTAGATATCAAGAACTATTATTAGACATAAAGAGTTTTATTATAAAATAAAAAACTCTGAAAAAAAATAATAATTAATTCCTAAATTTAATGCTTTAATAACTTCATATGATACAGCAATTAATGATATTGATTTTTTGAAAAAAATACACTGGGAATGTCTTATAGTGGATGAAGCACATCGTTTAAAAAATAAAGAATCGAAATTTTTTAAGACTTCTTCTACTTTGATTACTTAACATAAAGTACTTTTAACAGGAACTCCTTTATAGAATAATATTTTGGAACTTTTGAATTTAATAGAATTTATTTGTCCTTAAAAAGCTTAAAAAATGAAAAATTATTAAAATCTTAAAATTTTTTTATAAATGAATAATAATAATACTTATAGTGCTAATAATAATTCTATAAATAATAATGATTAAAATTTAGATGAAGAAGATAGAAAAAAAGCACTAAGGGAACTCACTTAAATAATAGGACCTCATTTACTAAGAAGGAAAAAATCCGATTTAGACCTCTAATTGCCTTAAATGGAAGAAATTATTATTAAATTAGCTCTTACAGATACTTAGAAATATTATTATAAAAATATATTGATAAAAAATTACGAGAATCTGAAAATATTAGATTTGAAAAATACTACTAATAAGAATGTATCTAAAATTTCTCTTTTAAATATATTAATGTCTTTGAGATTAGTTTGTAACCATCCTTTATTATTTTTGCAAAAAAAAAAATTCGAAGTTCCTGAAAGAGATAAATTTTTGGAAGAATTCATTGAAAGTTCAAATAAATTGAAATTTTTATAAAGAATAATACCTAAATTGATTAGTAATGGACATAAAATGTTAATCTTTTCTTAATTTACGATGATGTTGGATATTCTTGGTGAATTTTTTAAGTTTAAAAGTTTGCCTTTTTAAAGACTAGATGGAACTACTTCTGTAATTGAAAGATAGAAAATTATTGATTAATTCAATTAAAAGGATTCTTCAACGAAAATATTTATTTTGTCCACCAGAGCAGGTGGATTGGGTATAAATCTAACAGCGGCAGATACTATATTCTTTACAGATAGCGACTTTAATCCCTATAGGGATGTTTAGGCGATTTCTAGAGCTTATAGAATGGGTTAAACGGAAAAAGTGAAAGTTTATAGACTAGTAAGTAAATATTCGGCTGAAGAGAGAATCATTGAGATTGCTACTAGAAAGCTTTTATTGGAAAGTATAGTGATAAATCCAGTGAATAAATTTACTTCGGCAGATTTCGAGAATATATTAAAGAATGGAACTTATGAAATGTTCAATAAAAATTTAGAATAAAAAGATGCTGAATTCACAGATGAATAAATAGATGCTCTTATAGGGATTTTACCAGAGTAAATTAATAATTAAGATGTTGAAAATGTTTAAATAGTTAAAAATGATTTAAATGATTATTATTTAAGTGGTTTTAAGTTTTCCTCGTATAATTTTGAAAATATTAATCAGGCGGAAAGTTAAAATTGTGAAGATGAATATTAGAAAAAATAATATTGGTAAACTTTACTTGATGATCAAGCTAAATAATTTTAAAATTAATAAATTAATGAACTTGGTAAAGGAAAAAGAGTCAGGAAATTAGTTAATAATAATTTCTAGAATAATGATAATATCAACAATTAGGAAGAATCTTAATCTGAATTTGAAATAAATTAATAATAATAATAAGGATAAGGATAAATATAATAATAATTATAATAAAATTTACAGTAATAATAATAATTATAAAAAAATAAATTTTAGGATAATATTAATAATGTTTATTAGGAAAATAATTTAAAAAGAAAACAAAAAAATTATGAAAAAAAGGAAAAAAAAATATAAAAAATTCTTTCGTATTTTCAAACTGAAGTTTTTAATAAGCACGAACATTTTAAAAATTCATCTTCTTTGAAAAATTCGAAAAATTTTATTTTGTATAATTTTAATTATTTTCATAGAAATATTTTCCTTTCATTTATTTTATAATTTGGGTTAGATTTCCATAATATAACAATATTTTGGGATTCTTTTAAGCCTTTTTTACATTAATAAGACAACTCCAATAATAATTAAATTAATTTGAACTCTTTTTAAGCTTATTTAAAATAGTTTTATTGCGCACTTCTTTTTGCAGATAATTAAACTTAATCTTAAAAAGAAATCTTCTTTTAAGATATTTAACCTAATATTATTTATAAAAGAGTTCTGGGAATTTAACTTTTGAGAAAGCTTACTAATATATATTAGAAAAATCCTCATAATTTTAAAATAAATAATCAATAAAATAATAATAATAGTGAAGATGTTTTGAAATTCTAACTATATAAATGGACTAATTATGATGATTTCTTATTAATTAAATCTTTTTTGAAATAAGGCTTTGGAAATTGGCAATAAATAATTTCGGATGATAATTAATTATGGGAATTTCCAAAGGATTTGGGTTTTAAAGCATTCGAAATTTTATTTAAGAAATTCGATGAAAATATTCAAAGAAATATTTAGGGTATACCTTCAGATAAAATTATGAAATGGGTTATTATTAAAATATAAAATAGAGCTAATAATTTAATTAACTTAATAATTGAAAAATAAAAAGATTGATTTTCAACATATTAAATTATATATTATTATATGAACTTTTTTATTTTAATAATAAAAAAATATATATTTGAAACAATAATAATAATATTAATAACAATTTTTTGTATGTAATTTAATTAAATGTTTTTTTTCATATTAAAATGCATAATAATATTTTATTTTATTTAATTTAATTTCAATTTTTTTTCTTTTATTTCTTTTAACAATTTTTACAATACCAACTTCCTTCTGGTGCTTATTTAATTCCTACACATTGATAATGAAACCATTCTTTTTCACAAAATATATTTTCACAACCAATCCTTTAAAATTATATATATATATATATATATATATAATATATATATATATATATATATAAATTTTATAAATTTTATAAAAAAAAAAATTATTTTTTAAATAAAATATATAAAAATAATCTTTAAAACTTATTTAAAAAAAAAAAAAAAATTAAAAGATATGTAAATTTTTTATTAAAAGGAGGAAAAAAATAATTATTTCAAATTAAAATATTGTGTTTTGCAATTTAATAAAATAATATATAAATTATTACATTTTGTCAAAACAAGGCATTTAACAATAACAGTATTTAGGTTCGCTTTAATCATTTTACCAATCTTGTTACAAATCTAATTTTATTTAATTATTAACTTTTCATTAATTTACCTTATTCTTGCTTTCTTTATCTTTTAAGTAGGTATTTTTTTGTTTTTCTACTATCAGTGATGCTATTTTTTTATAAATTTAAATTTTATTATGATTAATTTTGTTTAATATCTTCTTGTATTTATTTTAAATCTTTCTCTAATTCATTAATTGATAAATCGATCTCGTCGTATATTATTTCAGATATACTTATTTTTAATTTTGCTATTTTAATATTCTCTTCGTATAGTTTATCTATTTATTTTATTTGCTCTTCAACCTTTTTTTATCTTTCATTTTGGCTATATCTAAAAAATTCTCTTATAATTATGTTAATTTTGCATCTTATAATTGAAGCTTTATATCTAAATCTTTTATTTATCTAAGTTAATTTTTTACTTGTGTTGGTAAATTATTTACTTTTTCTAAATATTTATCCACCATTTTATTATATTAATATTATTTTATAATATATATATATTAAATTCTAGATAAAATATATAGTTTAATGTTTATAGATAATATTTTAAATTAAAAAATATTAGTAAATACTTTTATTTTATTTTTATTAGAAATAATTATAAAAAAAATTTAAAAATTAAAATAAAGTTTAAATATATATAATTTTAAAATTTTAATTACAAAAGAAAAAAAAAAAAAAATTTAAAATTTAATTCAAATAATAATTTGTATTCAAATATAACTTTTTTTATTGAAATATAATATAATATTAATTTTTATTATAATTCTTATGTGGCAATAATACATTGTAATTAAAATAAAAAAAAAATATAATAAAAAGAAATAAACAATGTTAAGCTTTTAAATTAGAAAAATTATAATTATGTAAAAAGGACATGATAAATATAATAAAAAAAAATTATATTTAAAAAATGAAAAAATATATTACTTAAATATTTAAAAAAATAATATTTCATAATATAAAAATATAAAATTATTAAATAAAAATTATGCTTATTTAGTTTAATTTATATATGTATATAAACTATGAATAAAAAATTTTTTTATAATTTTAAATTTTATAATGGATTAAAAAGAATGTATATAATTTTATAAAAAATACATTAATTTTGCTTTATTAATAAAGGCATTATTTATAAAATATTTTCAGTAATTTTTAAAAAATAAAAAAAATATAAATAAAAATATAATATTGAAATATATTTTTTTTAAAAATAATAGTCAAATAATTATTTTTTAGTAAATAATATAAATATAAATGTAATATATATATATATATTTATTTAAAATATATATATATATATATATTTTTGTTTTAATATTTTAATGTATTTTTTTTATATTTTTTTAAGATATATAAAAAATATATTTGATATTATTAATATTTTATTCTATATATATCTATATATTTCTTTTTATATTTTATAATTAAAATAATATTATTATTTTTATATTGTTAATTTTTCTATACTTTTTATTTTTTAACTTTAAATTTATCTTAATTTTTATTTTTTTCATTTATTTTTATTAATTTAAAGATATATACTCATTTCTTATTTTTTAATTTTTTAATTTTTAATTATATTAATATCTTTTTAATTTTTTTAACTTCCTTTAATATTAATGCATTAATTATATATTAATTTATTTTAATCTTTATAAGTTTTAATTATTTTTTATTTAATATTTTATAAAATCAGTTTTTGTTTTTTAATTTGATATTCTACTTTATATTTATATTAATTAAACATTTTTTATTTTTGCTTTGTCTTATATAGACTTTTATTTCTTAAAAATTATTTTATTATTATTATTTTATGGAAAAATATAATTTGTATCTTTAATTTTTATTAAAATATACTTCTTTATTTATTATAATTTATAATATCTTAATTTTATTATTTATTATTTATATTAATATATTAAAAATTCCTTTAATTTAAAAAATTCTTTAATAATAAAATCTTTTAAATGATTAAATAAAATTAAAAAAATATTTTTATTTTCATAAATAAATAATTTATAATAATTTATTTTTATAATTATTTTTTTAAGAATATATTAATTATATTTATTTTATTAATAAATATTTAATTATCATATGAAATTGGCTAAACTTCATTTTAATATTATCAAAACACAAATTATATTTTATAAATTTTTATTGCTTTTTAAATTAAATCCAAATTTTAATTTTAACAACTTAAAACTTATAAAAGGAATAAATTTTGATTCAAAAATTAAATTTTTTTCAAAAATAAAATTGATTATTTTTGAATTCAATTAAATCTTTTATAAAAAAATCTAAAAACTATATTTACATTAATTATTTATTTTTTATTTTTTTAAATTCCAATAATTTTTATTTTCTTTATTTACGAAATCAAAAATTAATGAATTTTTAAATTACCTCTATTTTTTAAATTTAGTAATTTTTAATTTTTTCATCTAAAATTTCTACAAAATGAAATATTCAGTTTATATTCTATAATTTTTTTTATAGATTTATGATATTTTATTTCTTATAAATATTCATAACTTAATTTTATTTTTTGAATCATATTTTCTTTATTTATAATATATTTTTTAAATTATTTACTTTTTATATTTTTAAAAAATCTTCTGTTAATAATGGTAATTGAAAATTTTTATAATTTGTATTTATATTTAAATAGTTTAGTAACTTTTTATATCTAAATATATTTTTAGTTTATTAAACTGAAGTTGAAATTTATATAATTTATAATAGTATTTCTTATTTTAATATTTTAGTTAATATCAATTTTTATAAAGATAAAGTATTAAACGATTATATTAAAATTTATTTTATTTAATAAAATATGTTTTTTAAATAATAATCTTAACAATATCTAAACAAAACAAAATAAAAAAGATAAAATTTTTGTGAATATAATTATGAAAATAATTAAATAATATTTATAAAAACTTAGAGAAATATCTATTATTTTATATAGATTTAATATAAAAAAATATTTAATAAAACTATAATTTTATTAATAATATATATAATTTTTATGGTTTTCCTCATTTTTTATCATTTAAACCTATTGCCTTTACAATTAAATCATTTAAAGTTTTTTCTTAAAATCCAATTAATTCTTTTTTTAAAAAATATTTTATTTAAAAAAAAAATTAATTTAATTTTACTATCAATAAATTATCCATTATGTACAAGCATAAGAGTTGGAATTGACTATACCTATTAATAATATTAAATAAAATATAAAATAAATAAATTAAAAATCAAAAAAAATATTTTACTTAAAAGTTATTAGCCATTTCATTATGATTATCAATATTAATTTTAACAATTTCAAATTTTCCTTCATTTTCATCCAACTTTTATTATAAAATAGGTGATAATTTTTTACATGGCCCACACCAACTTTTAATTTATATTTAAATTGTAAAATTTAAATATTATGTTATATTTTATATATATAATATATTTATTTTTTAAATATATTAAATTTTTATTTCGAAATATCATTTTTTTTAGATTTATAAATTTTAAATTTATAGTTTACTCTGCATAAAAATCTACAATGACAGGTTTTTTATTTTCTAAAATCAAATCTTTTAATTCGCTTTAATTTTATAATTCTTTAATCTTTTTTTTTGATAACAAAATATTTAATAATATATCTAAATTTAAATATTTTTATTTTTTTACTTTTGCAAAAGAAGCCATTATATAATTCTTTATATATTTTTTTTAATTTTTAGAATAATAATTATGTATATAAATATACATTATTTATATATATTGATTATATTTACAAATAAGTGCTTGTTTTATTATTAAGTATTAGATACAATAAATTTTGATATCATTTTTTTTTTTAATTTATAAATTTTAATCTCAATTAATATTCATAAAAATATAAATCTATAATAATTTTTGTTATTAAAAATACAAAAGGACAAAAATTAAATTTATATATAAAATATAAATTAAAAAAAATAAAAATGATAAAATAATTTTTATAGATTAATAAAATCGAGTTAATTAGATTATAATATATTCCTAAATAGAACTTTTTTTTATTATTATAGAAATTTAAATTCGCTTTTTACTTAAAAGGTTTACGTGAAGATGAATAATAATTAGATTATTATTAAAGAATATTTAAATTATATGAAAACAAGAATCCAAAATACATAAAAAATTTTTCCTAAATCGCTTTAAAATATATAAAAGACAATTAAATAAAATAAGAAATAAGAAATTAATACATAAATCATTTAATAAAATAAAAAAATGTATATATAATATAGATTGTGGAATAGTATTTATTATTAATTGAAGATTCAATAAATTCAAATAATTTAGAAAACATTTAATAAATTTTAGACTAATTTATAAATTATTATCAATTATTTAGATAAAAACATTAATCTAATTTATATTTAAAAAACCATTTTGAAAGCAAATATGTATTCTAATGCTTTTAAATTAATAAATATAAACATTTAGATCCTTTTATTGATTTATTAATTGACGATTTATTAGATTTAGATATTGAAAATGCATTTGATTATTATATTTAGGTTTATTTTTATTCAATTTTAGTAAATAAAAAAATAGGTAATTTTAGAAAATAAAAGAAAAGCTTAAATGCCTTATTACATTAATTAAAAAGCATTAACTTATATAAACATTAAAGTATATTAAATTAAGCTAAAAATAGCGTTTTATTAAAAAATTTACTTTTAAGTGTTTAATAGGATTATTTGGAAAAAAAAAAATTTAAAAGTTGTATTAATGTTTGTTAAGTTTACCTTAAGTTTTATGAAAAAAATCAAGATATAGAATAGTTTATATTCATTCTTTAATAAATTGATGGTTATTATTAAATTATTAAAATTTCAACAGAAGGATTATAAAAAAAATGTTAAAAGAAAGAAAAAAGCTAAAATAAAATGTTCTAAGATTTATATTTATAAGGAGTTAGAGAATATGTTTTAAATTGTATTTAATTTGTTTAAATAGTAGATGTTCCTTTAAAAGTTTTAAATGTTAAAGATATGGTAGCAAAAAATCTTAATAAATTAGAAGATTCATATTCCAATTAAATAGTAAAGTATATTTAAGATTTTGAAAAAACTTAATAAAATTAATATGAAAAATTAAAAGAAAGTTATCCTTATGTCTTTTGATAATAAATATATATATAGGTTATTTATATTTTAAAATATTGTAATTAATAAAAGACATATTTGAAATAAAAAGAAAATATATATATGTTTAGTATAAATTATATAAGTTACTATTAAAAATATCAATTTTATTTTTAAAGTATATTTTAAAAAAAATAAATGCAAATATTATAATAAAAATTTTTATTGTGTTGATTTTATATATTAAGAATATTTTTAATAAATTTAAAGCATTATATAGAATATATAATATTTTTAATAAATGTAAAACATTATATAGAATATATAATATTTTTGATAAAAAAATATAATTTATTAAAAAGTAAAAATAAATTATTTAATATTTCTTTTTTTAGTATTTCTAAATAATATTTTGAAATTTCAATATTTTTTTTATTTAATAATTATATTTTAAATAATAATATACATAAAAAAATAAATAAATAATCAATATACATTATAGTATATATTTATTTTTTTATTATTATTAAACTTTTTAAAAACAATTATGTAAATTTTTAATTATTTTCACATATAATTATTTATTTAATCATTTTTTTAATCTTAATAATTATTATTTATTTTCTAATTTGTTTTTTACATATATTTATTTTTTCCATTATTTTATTTTTAATCTAAATTAAATTCTTTAGATTATTCACTACTATCTTTGCTTTATAAAAAATTTTCTTCGACTTCAAAAATAATTTAATTTTATAATATATTTTTTTTATCTTTTTTATTATCTAATTATTCACTAATTTTTTACTAATTTAAATCATTTTTTTTATTTGAAATTTATATTTTTTCATCTTCATTTAAATTATTTTTATTATTTTCATTTATTTCTTCTATTATTTAATTTTTCATATCTAATTCTTCTTCTTCAATATGTTTATAGTTTTACCCTTAACTACTTTTTACAACATTTGTATTCAAATAAATACAAACGGCTGTTATATCATCGCAAAATTCATCATACTTAAATAAAAAATATATTAAATAAAAAATAATTTTTAGTTTACTTATTTCCATATTAAATTAGCTTCCTTTACAATTTTCTAACAACCCATTTCAGCACTTTTTCTAATATAATAAGGTACAATTTAAAGCATAACCTAAAAAATAGATATTAAGAAAAAAAGAAAAAAATTAATATAAAAGAAACATCTCTATTATTTAAAAACTCCCAAACACCATCTGAAGCAATAACAATAAATTTATCCTCACATTAAATGTCCAAAATTTTAATATCTAAAAAATACATATGTATTTTATACAAAAATTAAAACAAATACCTGGTTCACAAATAACACCACATTAAGCAGCTATTAAATCTCCAAAACTTCTCGACATAGCTAAACCAGGAATATCTTCGTCTTACATCCATACTCTCGCAGGTCCAATAGGATCTCCATTTAAGGTTCTATAATGATCTACTCTTCCCCCATATTCTTCAATTCTTTTTTTTCTTCCAGGTTATCAGCTTTATGGTCATGTGATAATTCTTCTACATTCCAAAAATTAGTTTAATTTTATTTGGCTAAAATAGCTCTAGAATCTCCTGTGTTTGCACACCAAATCTTCTCTTCAATAATTAAAACAGCAACAAATGTAGATCCACTAAAAGTACAATCAATTTAACTTTCTAATAATTTCTAAGAAAGTTGTAAAAAAGAAAGTCTTAAACAACTACTAATATATTCTTCATGTATACAATTTAAATCTCTCGAAAATAAATCTTCTAATATACCTTTATATTATATATATATATATTATATCATATTTAAATTATATTTTATTATTCTTTAATTTTTTTAAAAATACAATCAAAAAAAAAACTTAAAATAAAATTTTATTAGTTTTTTTCTATTTTTATATCATGTTTTAAACAAAAAATAGTAAAATAAATACAAAATAAAATGTTAAAAAGTAATATATTTATATATTTAAAAATAATCATTACTTGGATATGCATTTCTAATAAATGCAGAAACATCATGTCCATAAATACCATGTCCATCACATACAGCAAATAAATGTCTATTAGAAAGTTTATTTAAATTCGGATGTATAATATAATTATCTTAATTTGTTTTAGGGCCTTAACTATTACAACCGGCTTTAGTGTAAAAAGCATGAGAATGAATTATTTATTTATTTTTTTCTATTTATTCATGTATTGATTATGAACTTATGTTATTTTTAGATTTTTCTGGAATAGTCTTATCTAATTTTTTAAGTTGATTTTGTTATAGTTCTTAAATTGATTTTTTTTTTTTTGATCGTCTGCTTTTTTATTAAGAAAGTAAATTAAGTGAAATATTAGTAGTAGATTTTTATTAAATTTATAAAAGGTTTTCAGATTCTTATTAAGAGTTTTCAGGTTAATTTATTAATTTTTCTTTTTAATTTATTTAGGATTAAATATTAGGTAATCTTATATTTGATAATTTTTTTTTAAATAATTAGACTTCTTTAAAAATAAAATGGCATAAAAAATTTAAAAAATTATATAAATAAATAAATATAAAATATATAAATATATAAATATATAAATATATAAATATATAAATACTTATAATTTTTATATATATACCGTTATATATATTTTTTGTTATTAGATTTTTTTCTAATTTTCATTATTTAAAATTTATTCTTATTATTTTTGTTTTATTAACTATAAATTTTTCTAATTTTTTTCTGACAAGCTTTAACTATTATATTTATTTGTAATTTTTTATATCTATTCACTATTATTATTTTGAGGTATTGTATTTAATTTATTGTGATTATTTTTTATTTCCATAAAAACCTTTTTTTATTCACTTTTATCTTCAATAAATTAATCTGTTTATTTTACTTTATTTTTTTAAATTATTTTAATTTTATTTTAAAAAACATTATACTCAATCCTTTTATATTTTTTATTGAATATTGCCTGTTTTATTATGCCGAAGAAGGTTATTATTATACAGATTACTAATTCATTAAATATATATGTTTATTTGAATTTGATGTATAATTTCTATGCAAATTGTCTTTTTCTTTTTAATCATTTGAATTTGGCTTTTTGTAAATTTCATAAATATTTCTAAACTTAGATTTTTAAAGAATTTTTGAATTCATTTTGAAATAAATGTATTGATGTATTAGTTGTTTTATATAAATTTATTTAATATTTTAAATTCCTATTTTTTTTTTGTTTAATGATAATTTAAAAATATATTTAAGTTTTAATTTATTTTAATTATTTTTTTTTATTTTTTTTAATTTTACACACGACTTTTTTTTAAATAGATCTTAATATTTTTTTAACTAAATTTGAATTTTTTATAAATTTTTTAATAAGTTTACGAATTTTTTAGATTTATTATCTAAAAAATCAATATTAAATTAAAATAAATTTATAAAATAATTAAATATTTTAAATAAAAATATTCAAAATTAAAAACAATTAAATTATATCATGAAAATATATAATATTTAATTTTATTTATTAAAAGAAATTTAAATATTAGTTTTATTTTAGTAAAATATAAATAAAGAAGTTATAAATAATATATATATATATATTAAATTTAATAATTATACATATAAATATAATTTTTAATTTAGTATTAATGTTCGTTTTTAAAATCAAATTTATAAAAATAATTTTCAGTTGATGATCATTAATTCAAGTTATTTTATTAATCTAAATCTTACGTTAATTAACAGAAAAAATTTAATCTAAAAAATATTAATTTATTATAAATATTAATTAGTGTAAAAATAATATATTTATTTGTTTATTTTTTAAACCTGTTAGAATTGTTTTTTTATTTATTTAATTTTTAAACTCTTTCTTCTATTTCTTCAAACGATTTATTAGGATATACTTCTTTTAAAAAATTAAAACTTTTTTATTATACAAGATCAAAAACTGAATGTATATATTAACATCTATTTCCATAAGAACAAAATCCATTAAAAAAATATTTTCTACAAGGCTTAGTTTTGTAATTTTAATGTAAATGATTTTTATATTATAATTCTTCTTTTCCATGAGCAAAACAACACTTTTTAAAAAAAAGTTCAAATAATAAATTATAATAAAAAAAAAATATATATATATATGTTTATATTTAAATTGTTATATATAAAAAATATTTTACTTTTTCTCCAAACTTGCAAAAATTTTTTGTTATCCAATTTTTGCACATTTCTGTTTTTATTTTTTACGTGTATTCTTCTATAAATCTTATTTTTTCTTCTTATGTTTGAAATACAATTTTTTTTGGTTTAACACTATATATATATATATATATTATTATTATTATTTTTCAAAATTTTTATATTAAAATTTAAAATTTTATGTTTATACTTTTATTAAAAAAATAAAAAAATTATTATATTATTATTATTTATACAATATTTTTTTAACAATTTTTTTTAGTATTTTTATTACTCTATTTAAAATTCTTCAAATTTTATATCATTTTTAAAATAATTTTTTGCAATTTTTATATTATCTTCAAATTCTGAATGAGTAGGCGTAGAAGCTTTAGTCGAGTAGTTACCTTACTTTTAAAAAAGTTAAATAAAATTAAATAAATATATTGCAAATAATATATATAATTATAAATTCAATAACATATATTAAATTTTTTATAAATTGTTACTTAATTAATATTAAATTATGTAAGAGCTAATTTTTGATATTAATTATTGCTTGTAATATTATTCATTTTTTAGTTATTTTGTTTAATTTTTAATTTTTAATAAATATTAATATTATTTATTTATGTATTTTTATTTTTATAATGACTATTTTAATTTTATATTAATTAATTGTTGACTATTTTTAAAATAATTATACAATTTGAACATATATTATATTTATAAATATTTAAATAATTTATATATATATTATTTTTTTTAACAATAAGTTTTATATTTAACTATTTATTTGAGTATTATATAATAAATTTTTATATATTTTTTAATTATTTTTATGTTTTATTAAGAAGTAAAAATTTTTTAATTTTAATTTTTTTTTAAATAATTAAATAATTTTATAGAAAAAGAAAAATATATTATATATTAAGTGAAATAATAAAAATTAGTAATTAAAATTTTAATAAATTTTTTAAATTAATATATTTTTTTTTTAATAGCAATTAAATTATTTTTATTACATTTATATTCATATAATTAATAAAACAATTAATGTATAATATTTTATAACTTTTGATTGCTACATTTTAAATATTATCTATAAACTTATTTCTTTTAATAATATTTATAATTTAAAAAAGAAATATTTAAATAACGTAGTTCTTATATTCATTTAATTGAAATTTATTATAATAAATATTTTTAATTTATTTTTAAACTTTAGATGTACTAAATTTATATTAAATGATTGTAATTCAAATATTGTTTCTTTAATAAATAAAAATTTTATAGTCTTTATAAAATTTTGCATAAATTTCTTAATAATTATTTTTAATACTTTTAAAAAAAAAAATTAATTTCTTATTAAAGTTGAAGTTTATAAGTATTATATAATATTTTTGTTAGTTTATTTTTTTCTTATTTAAATATATATTTACAATATATAAATATATACTTTAAAAATTATTGAATGAAAATTATTTTAAAATAATTTAAAGATGTAATACAAACATAAAATAAAAATCCTATAATTTTTTTATTTAATTTTTAATTTATTATAAAATACTATCTATTTAAAGTAAATAATAAATTAAAGTTTTTAATTATTTATTATTTAACACTATTTTTTTTATTTTATTATATTTAAATTTATTACTTTTTAAAAAAGTAATAATGATTGCATTTTTAAATTATCATTATTTTAATAAATTATTTTTATTATAAATTATCATTTTTTTATAAAATTTTAAAAATTTTTATAATTGTAATTTTAAAAAAATCAATAAATAAATATAAATTACTTTTTTATATTAACTTATCAAAAAAAATAAAAAAATTAAGAATCACAAAAAAGCAAAATGCTAAGTAATGTAAGATTAATTTTTTAATTTACTACAAAAAAAAACTAAATAAATTACTTATTAGATTTATAAAAATTATAAAAGTAATGAATAACTACTATTATTCAATGATAAGAATATATAAAAAAGCAGTGTTTAAAATATTTAACAATCTAAGTATTAACCAAAAATAAATTTTTTAAATGTAGTTTAAAAAAATAAGAACAATAATAAAATATTTTTTTTTATTTCAAAATAATAAAAGCACAAATTATAAATAAATTAAAATAACACAGTATAAGATGAAGATATAATTAATGTAAAGCTAGATTTACCTTTTTAACAGTATAAAAAAAATATTGAAGCTTTTATTTTGATTTAAAATATATAAACAAAAATTAAAACAAAATATAGTATAATTTATTAGGATTCAATAAGAACAAGGTGCGATAAATTCAATTAAAAAATGCATTTATAATTAGAAAAGTTTTTAACTTTTTATTGTAAGAATTAAGATTTCGAATATAAATAAGGTTTAAATGAATTAGCAGCTCCTTTTTTATATTTGACATATTTAAATAAGTAAATTACTCTTTCTCAATCATATATTTATTTTGTAGCTTTTTTAGACAAATTCATACCTAATTTTTATCTTGACTAAGTTAAAATAAAATAATTTTATCAAATTATGTTTATTTATTATTTTTTATAAAAAAAATAGGATTTTTATAGTTTATAATGCTTTTTTTCTTCATTTATATTATTAATAAAATATCACGATCCTGTGTTAAATGAAAAATTTTAAAAAAGTTTTATTTTTCCAGAAATATATGCATATCCTTGGTTTATAACACTTTTTGCAAGGTATTTAAAAATATATTTAAAAAAAAAATTATATAATTTCAAAAGTAAATTAAGCTTAGATATTTTATATAATTTTTGGGATATATATATAATTGAAAATGATCCTTTGATGATTCTTTATTTTTCTTTAGGTCTTATATTTTATTTTAAGTAAAAACTATTTCTTGTAGACTAAAGTCTATTACCTTAAACTTTGGCTGGATTAAAAATGGAAAATTTATAAGAATTAAAAGAAATATACAAAATGTAAAATAATAATATAAATATATCAATTTTCTTAATATATTATTTTTCTGTATTTTTTTATAAAAACTCATATTTATAAACAGTCAATAATTTTTTTTTCTCGCTTTTATTTTATTTTTAAAAAATACAGCAAAAATATAAAAAAATATAAAAAATAATATTAAAAAGTAATATATATTGTATTAAAAAAAATAGAGCTTATTAAATAAAATAATAAACACCTTTATCATTTAACTATATGATAAAGAAATTTAATATTTTAAATAAAAATTATGCCAAAGAAGAATCTACAAAAATTCAAATGAAAAACATATCATAAGCAATCCAAAACTATTAAACAATACCTTTATTTCCTCGAGAACTATTCAGTTATATATACCCAAACATAATAAAATGTAAAAATCCAGACTGTAATTAAAAAGATAACAATTGCTAACACTGTAAAATCAGCAATTAAAAAGAAGATTATGATTTATATGATGAAACAATATCTGAATTTGCATAATAAGTATATTAAAATATAAAGCAAACCTAAATTTAGGAAAAATAAGAAATAAATTTAAAGATAATTGATATTCGTGATGATTTTAAATTTCAAGGAAATATAGATTAAGCAATATAAATTTTCGAAAAAGAAAAAAGCGAAATAAATTTTGAAGATGAGTTTGAATTAAAAAAAGGGCTTTTTCACTTTTGTTTTATCACCAATAACGATAAACAGATAATTAATGAAAAAAAAAATGGAGTTATTGAAAAAATTTTGAATGGAAATTTTCCTTATGTATCTATATTATAAGGAGGATTTAAAGAATTGCATAATTTATCAATATAAATGAATATTCCTTTAAATAAACACAAAAAAGAATTCTGTAAACTTTGTAGAATTATGACTATTTAAAGTATTAGTAATAATGGAATTAATAATAGTAAATTAGTTAATTATTCTCTTTTTGAATATTTTTTAAATGTTTTTAATTCAAAAGATAATAAATAAGATAGTAAAAATGTACTTGTTTCAAATATTTAAGAAAAGAAAAAGGAAAATTTTGTTAATATTCATTCGAATTCAGTTCATAGTTAAAATTTATTTATTATAAATTAGGAAAATACCAAAAATTAAAAATAATAATAATAATTCGTTAATAAATAAAATGATAAAAAAAATACTTTCATTATTGTTAATAGTAATAATGAAGAAAATTATTTACAATAATAATCAAAGAATATACCAATGATAAATAAAATATTAATTATTAATAATAAAGAAGAAAATTATAACGATCATTTAGTTTCTAGTAAATTAATTAATATTAATAAGGAAGATAAAAATTATCTTTAAGTTTCTTATTGTAAATAAGAAACTTAAAAATAAATTTAAAGTAATGAAAACATTAACAATGTTAAAAAAATATAAAGTTAAGGACTAATATTGAAAAAAAATATTAATTATAGTTAATTGAGGAAATAAATTTTGGCTAAAAATTATTAAAATAAAGGAATTTTCTAAAGTTATAAAGTTTAAATTAATACTTGGATTAGTTTTTTGTAAATTTTAAAAAATAAATAGTTTACTTTTTATTCTTGCTAAAGCTTGAAAAATAAAAACAATTAAGATTCGAAATTAGATTAAGTTAATTCATATAATTATAAATCTAGTTCGAATATATTATTAATAACTGAAGGTTTCTTTTTTATAGTATTAATTATATTATTTAAACATTTTTTATTTTTAAAATAAAAGATTTTGTAATTACTATTTCTATTGATAATTTTACTTTAAATTTTTTAAAGAATATTAAAAATAATGAAAATTTAATAAAAAATGTAATAAAAATGAATTATAATAATTTATTTTTTAAATATTAAAATAGGACCAATAAACTCCAGATTAATAAATTCCTTAATATATATAAATAAAATCTTTCTTTTTTATAAAATAATTATAAAAAATAACATCAAAAAAATTCAATAATAATATAATTACTTTTTATTTTAAGCTTCCTAATGTTTGCTCAAACAATAAATTTGAGGACACAGATTATTTAAATTTTTTAAATGATTTTAATTTAGTTAAACTTAAAGAAATAGTAGAAAATAATTAAATATAATAAATTCATTAAGAAATACATTAAATCTAAATAAAATAAAAAGTAAATTTTATATAAAAAAAAAATATTTATATTATAATAGGATAATTTAGAGATAAAAAATATTTTTAATATGGACAATTATGAAAATTCAGTTGACTGTATTAAAAAATCATAAGAATTTTATTAAAATTAATAAAGAAAATGAAATGAATGTAAAATAGAATAAAATATGTAAATTATTTTTTGAATATATAAAAATATAAATAAATAAATATTTGTTGAAATCTGTAATATATATATATATATAGTTTATATTACTAAAAAATAATTTTAAGTAATTAATAATTATACTAAAAAGATTAAAATAAATATTTAATATATAATTTATTATTTATTTATTTTTATGATTTTAAATATTATATATTTTAAACTAAAATTTTATAAAATTGTTATTTTAATATTTATTTAATTTTTTAATATTTTAGTATCTTATAAAAAAATTCAAATATTTTTATAAAAAATAAATAAATTTTCGATTTATATTTCTTTATTAAAGTTAAAAATAGATAAAAAAAGTAAGATTATTATATGAATTCATATTTATTTCATAAATATTAAATTTATCTTTTTAAATAAAAAATCAATTTTATTATTATTATTCGAAGATACAAATATAATAAAAAATTAAACGATTTAGTCCAATTATAAATAATAAATCTAAATTATTAAAAAATAAAAAATATAATAATTTATATAACTTATAAAAATAAGAAAAATTTTATAAAAAAAATGTAATATTTTTTAAAATTCAAAAAAAAAATTTATATAAAATTAAATAAATAAAATAATAAAATAAATTTATAATAAAAAAAAATTAAATAATAAAAATTAAATAAAATAAATACGTAATAAAAAGTTAATTTAAAATCAATTATTATTATTTATATCATTATTATTATTATTATTATTATTATTATTATTATTATTATTATTATTATTATTATTATTATCTCTCCATGATGTATTATCATCTATTCTATCTTTATGTAAATAAAACCAAACCTTTTTTTCTTGATCATATTTAATACATGGATCATCTAAATAGTGTAATCTATCTAATGCTCCACTTACTATAGTACTTACTTTATCTTAAGTCAAATCTGAATTTATATATTAACTTTCTTTTAATAATTCACATATATCAGATCTTGTTCCCATTCCATTCGGCATTTTAGCACATGCATCTCTTACTAAAGATAAAATCGTTATATATGGAGATCTACCTGGTTTTAAAAATGCATGATCACGTGGTTTTGATTATAGATTTGTGGTCACTTTTTTACATACAGGAGCTACACATGTCTTTGAACCATCCATACAGGTATAAACCCATGGTTTTGTTGGGTTTGCGTATCTTTGTCTTTCCTATTCTCTATAGTTTAATAACCATTCTTTAGAAACCTTTTTATATTTATTTTATTGTTGATTTTTTTTATATAAATACTGGAGCTTTAATTTTTTACTATTTTTTTATTATATAATATAATAAACTTTTTAATATATAAAAAAAACTTATTATTTAGAAGTTTAAGAATTTGTAATTTAAATAGATGATTATCTTTAACTTTTAGGTTCTGAAGAATCTTAATTAGCATTTGTTTTTTAAAGAATTATTAAATTAGGTTTGTTTAAACTTACTGTATTTTCAACTTTTGAATATGATCTATTAACATTACTATTACCATTACTATTACAATTATTATTTATTATTATTATTATTATTATTATTATTATTAATATTATTATTTTTATTATTATTATTATTTATAATTGTATTTGTATTTTATAAAGTTTTTTTTTTCAAGCTTTTATCTTAATCACTACCATCTGTACTATTTCCTATTGATACTTAACAAAAATCTATTTCTGGTTTTAATTTTTAAAGGCTTTAATCACTTTGTTCACTTTCACTACTTAAAATATCTTCTAATTTTGTTGTGTTTCTCCTTTTTTTTAGAAGCTTTTTATTTTTTTTATTTTTATTTTTAAAAATTTAAAAATAATAATATTACTGTAGAAATATTTTTTTATTATATTTATTTATATGTATTTTAATAATATTCAAGTAAATATTTTTATGAGATCTTTTTTTCTATTTATTATTCTTATTTTCTCATATATGTAAAATTTCCTATTTTTGCTTTTATTAAAAATTCATTTAATGGATTTATTCCATATGCAAAGTTTTCTCCTTTCATTAATTTTTCTAAAATTTCATCTTAATTTTATTTAGGTAATAAATTTTTCAATTTTTATTATTCTTCTAAATTAAAAATTTCATTAAATGTTTTTAAATCAAACAACTTTTTTTTTTTTTTTTCAAATATTATTGTTTTTTACATCATTCATGTCTTCTAATGTAAGTAAATTTGTTGGTATTTTTATTTTATCTATTCCATCAGCTTCTAAATATATATTTTCTTTATTTTCATCAAATACTATTTGTTTTATTGATATTTTTAAACAATTTGTTTTTAATTTTACTTTAGTCCTCATCAATTGCGTAATCAGATGAATAGTCACTTACATCAGCTTAAACTATAACTATTTTTTTTTTAAATAAAAATATGAAATTGATTAACTAAAATTGTTTATATTTTTTTTATATTACGATTTTCTAAATTATTTTCCAAATTCTTTTTTATTTACTAATATGTTTTATTGTATGTATCAAAACTATTTTAATTTTTTATATATACAATGTTCTTTTTTATATTTGGTTTAATGTTTTTTACAAATCTTTTTTTTAAATAGATCTTATTCAATAAATTATTTTGTTAGAAGTTTTTTACTCATTTCTTAATATCTTTAATATATTTTATTTATTTATTTATTTTAATTTATAATTTTTTAAAAAAAATAAAAGAATAAATTGTTAATAAATAAATATTATTTATAAATAATATCATTTAAAATAAAATTATTAAAATATTTTAAATTATTCGTAACAAAAAATAGGAAATTTAATAAAATTCTTTAAATAAAATAATTTTTTTTAAAAGGAAAAAAATAATTTATTTACAATTTTAAATTCAATATTAATTTTAAAGAAACAAGTTTTAAAAGAAAAAGTTTTAAATAAATCTATTTAGCTATTTTATTTTATTTATTCATAAATAATAATATTGGTAATCTATTTTTTTAATTTTGAGAATTATTAATTAAATTAAAGATTTTATTTTTAGATATTTCTTTTACTAAAATTATATATTTTTTAAAAATCTAAAATAAAAAATTTTATGAGTTAATAGAAATAAATGTTTTATAGTAATATTATTTTTATAATATTAAAATAATAATATTTATTCCATCTTCATATAATTATTTTTTGAATTTCACTTAACTAAAGTTCTTAATAATTTAAAAAAAATTAATTAAAATTATTTTAAATATTTTTTAAATTTATATTAATTTTTTATTTATTTAATCTGAAATTAAATATTTTTTTTTAATTCAATTATTCTTTATATATTGTTTTGAAAATTTATATTTGAACTTATTATTTTTTATTTAATCAATTTTAATATTATTCAATTAAATACAAAAATAATTTAAATATAAAAATCTAATTATTATTATTATTTAAATATATAATTTTTATACTAAAAATAATTTTCCTTTTGTTAAAAATATATACAATAAATTTATATTATCAATAATTTACATATGAATTTTTAATTAATATATTTATATTTAAAAAAAAAAAAAAAATTTCTTTGATTATTTTTATTATAATTTTAATTTATTTATTTAACTTTTTTTTTTTAAATAAAAAAATTACATTTTTTTTATTTACTAAGCTAATTTTTTTCAATTTTATATGCATTTATTCACTATTTTTAAAAAAAATATTTAAAATATTAAAAATGTAGAATAATTATGAATATTTATGTTAATTTTGTTATCTTCGTAATAACATATAAACAGAATTATTCGAACTAAACAACTTTGATGTTTTAGAAGCAAATATTAATTAACAATAATTTTATTTATTGAGATCTACATAGGAATATGAAAATTATTCAATAAACTTTAAAGTCTAGAATAAAATTAAAGTTTTTGAAAATTCTCCATTTTATTTATGTAGTTATTTTTATGTAGAATGTAAAACATGTTAATAAATAATTGGATTTATTTTAAAATCTACAACTAATAAATTAGTTTAGTATAGAGAAGATTTTTTTTTATATAAAAATTCTATTTTTGTTAAAGAAATAGAGTAAGAATCTTTAAAAAATATAAAGGATTCAATAGACTAAAATACACATAAGATTTTATAAAATGTTAATAAATTTTAGAATATTATTAGTAGGCAAAATAATACAGGAAAAGAAATTAAAGAAACATCAGAAAATCTATAATTATTAATGAAATTAAAATATGAGGTTTGATATAAATACATTTTTTTAATTTATAATGTTTAATGGTTTATTTTATTTATTTAAAAAAAAAATATTTTATAAAAAATAAAAAAGCGGTTAATATTATTTTTTTCTTAATTGAAAATTTATTAGATTATATACTATTATTTTTTTTATAAATATCAAAAATTTTAATTATAATTTTTGAATTAATAAAAAATAAAAAAATTATTAAATTTTAATAATACATATTTGCATTTTTATTCTAATTATCAATTTTATTAAAATTTTAATAACCATTAATGTTATAACAATTCTTATATTGTACATCTTTAATTTTTATTTACAACAAAAATTTATTAAAGAAAATTAATAAGATTTTAGGAAAAATGATTAGGATAATTAATATCTAACTTTTTTATAAAATAATTATTTAATATTAAATTAATATATAAATTATTTTCTTTTTAAAAAAAAGAAAGAAATTATACTCTTTATATTGCATCAAAAGTTTCTTTTTCAGTGTTTTTACTAAAAGGAGGATATCCTGAATTCAATTCATAGCAAATTACTCCCAAAGCCCAAACATCAATTTCCTTATCATAAATTTAGCCATCAATCATTTCAGGAGCAACATAATCTATGGTTCCACAGAATGATTTTCTTCTTATGTTTCCATTTACATCAGAAAATGCAGCACAACCAAAATCGCATAATTTAATTGTACCCTATAAAATTGTTATTAATTATTTTGTTTTAAATAATTATTTTATTAAATTTTACATTTTAAATTAAAATATTTTCTAATTTTAAATCTCTATGTATAATATTTTAATTATGTAAGTAATTTATAGCTTCGCATAACTATTATATAATTTTTGCACTATTTTTTTCTTATAAAAAATTATTTTAGCTTTTTTATAATAACTAAGCTAAATTTCCATCATTTGCATATTCTAAAACAATATAAAAATAATTATCATCTTCAAAATATCCATTACACTAAAGAATATTCTTATGCTTGCAAAAGTTAAATTGAATATTTAATTCTCTTTATAATTATTAAAGCATATTATTTTAATTTATAATTTTCTTTTCTATTACCTTTAATGCATTTATATTTTATGATTTTATATTTCTTAATTTTTTTTTTATTTCAATTAAATATTTTTATTTTATTATTATGAAAAAAAATATACCTAACCATATATACAGTTCCAAAAACACCTTAACCTATAGGTTTAAGAAATTCGAAATATTCTTTTTTTAATTATTATTTATTATTTTATTAAAGACTAAATTATTAGCTAATGTATTATTATTGTTATTAATAATCTCCTTATCTTAATTTTAAAGTATTCTAATTAGTTTTATTTATTTATTATTATATATTATCTATAGTAGAATAGCAGTTTTTACTTTCATAAAAATTTTTTAATAAATTATATTGAGTATTATCTTGTTAAGGTATTAGTTGCTTGATTTTATTATTAAGATTAATAAATTATCCATTAATATTATTTTATTTATGTTCATACTTATTTTTCGTCATAACTATAATATTGCTTTTATTTTAAGATTTATCTATTTATTTTTATTATTATTTCGTCATTTAAAATCCATTATTAAACTAAGTTATTTTTTATATTTCTTATTATTCGAGGGTGCTTTTATTAAAGTTAGCACTAGAAGGAGAATTTTCTTTTTAAAATTTAATCGAATAATATTAATTTATATTATGTCTGATATTTAGTTATTATTAAAATTTTATGTTATTAGTACAAAAATTATTTTAACTATTACTTATTAAATTATTTGAAAGTTAATAAATTTTTACTTAAGTTTAACCTTATTAAAATGGAATTCTGTTGGTTTTTTGTAAATTCCTTTCCTATTAAAAATAAAACTAATTATTTTAATTTTGAATATTTGCATCTTTTTAAAAAGGTGAATTTATATAAAATTAATCTTTAGAATTTATAGTTAAAAATTTAGATTATTAATATTAGTTTATTAGCTTTTTAGGAGTATTTAAGTTTTAAAAATTTATATTTTAAGTAATTATTTATTTAGTAAGAATGTTTTTATGATAAGAGCAATCGTTTTATTATTTATATAAACCTACTTGTATTTTAAATATTCTTCGAGGAGAAATTTGTTAAAGGTTTTAGTTTTAATTGTAGGATATTCTAGTATTTGATGAAATATTAATACAATTTTTAGATTTCAAAGGATATAAAAAGAACTTAGTAGACTAATCATTAAGTTTATTATTTGAAGCAAATGATATTGATTTTGATCTTTAATATTTATATCTTGATTAACTGTGTAAAGAATGATAAATAAATTAATTATTCATTAATATTTTTATAAAAAATTTAGTAATATTTTAGATAAATTTAAAATAGAATTTATATATATTTATATTTATTTATATTTGTTATTATTTTTTTTTATATATTTAATGAATTATAAATATAAACATTAAATATATATAAATATTTAATTATATATGTATTTATATATTTATATATATATATTTATATATTAGTTTTTATATATATACATATTTATTTTAATAAAAAATTAATAAAAATAATCTTTTTTAAATTTAATTAATTTTTTAAATTTTATCTAATAATTTATATAAAATATTTTTTTAATTTAAATTATATTAATATTTTTAAGTATAAATTTTAAATAAAATTTTATGTTTGTTCAAATAAATATATATAAAATAATTTAATAAACTATATTTTGTTTATTTATAAATTATCATAAATTTATATCATTAAAGAACATTTTAAATATATTAAAATATCTTAAAATAAAAATTTAATTTATATTTTAAAATATATAGAATATATTAAAACTTTATATATTAAAACAAAAATAATAACTAATCATTATAAATCTTATCATTTAAATAAAAAAATTATTGCATTATAAATTAAAAAAATTTTTAAAAAATTACTTATTTAAATAAAATAAAAAAAAAAAAAATACAATTAGTAAATAAAACAATTAATATTTGATGCATATAAAAATTTATAAATTTATATATATATATATATTATATATATATATATAATATAAATATAAATATAAATATAAATATAGATTTTTACGAGTTTTCAAAATTAACAGATGATTAAAAAGAAGAATATCTTGAAAAAAAAAAAGAATAGTATGAATTGCTTATATAAAAAGAAAAATAAGATATAGATTAATTTCTTGCATAAAAAGAAAAAAATTAAATATGTTAAGATTTCGATCAAAAATTAGAAGAAGAAAAATTAGAACTTAATACATATTTAGAATCTAAAGAATTCAAAAAAATAATATAAAATTTAGAAGAAGATGATAGGAACATTATTTTTAATGGCTAAGATTAAAATTTAAATGAAATTTTTGATAAACAAGAATAATAATAGGTTAAAATAATATAAGAATAAGCCGAAAATAAATTCAAATAAAAAGAAGAGAAAAAAGTTCAAGAGAAATAAGTTATTTATGAAGTAAAGTAATAGTTTAATAAATATGAATTAAGTTATGATGAAAAAAAATTGAAGAACAATTTGAAAAATGTTTATAAGTGCCTATAATTTCTTAAAAAACGGCTCGCTCTAAAATTAGTTTTTTTAAGTTTATTTAATGAAAATTAAGAACAATATATTTTAAAAATATTTGAAAAAGCATTTGTAAATCCTTTTAACTACTTTAAAATTTTTGGATATAATTAACAATTTAATATTTAATGAATTGATTAATATTTAAAAAAATTAATTTTTAAAAAGAAAATGTAAAATAAATATTTAAAAAATATATATATATAAATAAAATTATATATAAAATATAGAATGATCAATCTTATATTTAAATGATTTAAAATTTAATAAATAAATGAACTTAATATATAAAGTTTTTATTATTCGATTACAAATATGGTCTATTATTTTTAAATTTCGAATAATTTATTAATCTCAAAGCATTTGAAAATCTAGAAATAATCGAAAATATTAATAAAGATTTTATACCTGAATAAAAAGATACAATCTGTCAAAATATTGAAGAGAAAAACTTATAATTAACAAAAAAGTAATATTCTAATATTGATTTTAGAATTAATTATGAAATTATAAATAATGATAATAATTACTAATAATATAAAAATTTTGAAGAAATAATAATTGATTTGTTAAAAATCACAGTAAATAAATAAAATTTAGGTAACTTTGATAAAAATATTACCTTTGAAGATATTGGTTTGAAACATATTTATTTTGGCGATGATACTTATTAAGCTATTTTTAATAACGTTTAAAATTTATATTGTTTATATAGAAAAACTGTCTAAGTTATAAATATAGATAATTAAAATATAAAAAATGAAATCATTAAATAGAACGTCTCTAAAAAATTTAATATTTTAGATTTTTATAATTTTAAAATATATAAAGTTAATTAAAAAATAGCTAATAATGATATATAAATTAATAATTAATTATTTTATAACGAATGGTCAGAAATTTATAGATTATTCATTTACACTAGAAATTTTTGATTATAATATATTAGATAATGAGACGTTAATATTTATTTGCGAATATATGTTTAAAAATACGGTTAACAAATGAAGAAAGTAGGAGAGAACTTTTTGAATTGAATAATAGAAGTTAAAAATGATCTAAAAGAAAAATATAAAGTCGAAAATTTCTATGAAAATATATTTAATGAAGAAAATTAAAATATTACATAAATAGCAAAATAATAATTTGTAAATTTTAACAGCAATTCTAACTACTTTTATTGTGATTACATGTAATCGTTTTATATGAATATAAAGTATTTGATAAAATAAATATATAAAACTTTAATTTTCAAAATGAAGTCTTATTAAAATAAATATAAAAATCTCAAAAATAATAAAGATGAATAAATTTGTTAAAATAGGTATAAATAGAAATTAATATTAGAAAAAAATGCTATTTTTGACGAAATTAAACATATATTGGTTGATTAATGTAAGTGTTTATAAGAATTCTACTAAATATTATATGAAACCATAAACTAATGCTTATTACTTGAAAAAGTGTCCAATGACGATATTAATAGTTCTTTTTATTCTTTTTAAAATCCATTATAATCTTTGATAAAAATATATTAAACATTCTCTGAATAGAAACAAAATAATTATGAATAGTTGAATAATTATTTAGAAAATAATGAATAATAGTAATAATTAAATGAAATGAAAGCTTTGAAAAAAATATTTAATTGCGCTCCAAATAAAGAATAAGTAGAACCTAACTTGAATATTATAGTTAAATAATATTCATCTTAAAATATAATTGATTTATATGAACTTTTTAAAAACAAATTCCTTATTTTAATTTTGAAAATTATCAATAATAATAAAATTTGGAATTAATTTATAGAAGATACCGACTTATCAAAATTAACTTTTAATTAAAAATTAAACATTATTTAGTATTTTTTTTTTTAATAAAAATAAAGAAAAAAATTAAAAAATATTTTATAAATAGGTAAAGAGTAAATCAATCCTAAAAAAAATTACAAAATTCAAATATTTCCTCAGTTTCTTTAGTATTACGTGTTGATAGAGACTAAATTTGGTATTCTGTCTATAAAATGTTAATTAAATAAAACGAATATAATTTAAATTAAAGTAAATTCGATATTTAATTTAATGGCGAAAGTAGAGTAGATGCTGTTGCTCTATTAGGAGAGTTCTATACATAATTATTTAAAGATTTATTAGACCCAAAAAAAGGGTTTTTCTAGCCTTCTTCGAACGGCATCACAATGTAACCTTCTCCAAACTCAATAATAATAGTAGATCATTTGTTACACTTTTAAATGGCAGGAAGATTAGTTGCAAAGGCACTTATTGATGGTTTCACTTGCGAAGTTGATTTTACCAAATTCTTTTTGAAATAAATTCTTGGATAACCTCTTTATATTAATGATTTGGAAGATATTGACCCTTAAATGGTTAAAGGGTTAATGGATATTTTCTAAAATAGTATAGAAGGACTATAATTATATTTTACTTATACTATTAATTAATTTGGAGAATAGAAAGTTATCGAGTTGATTCCTAATAGAAGTAATATTGAAGTTACTGAAGAAAACAAAAAAGATTATGTGAAAAAATTAGTATACTTTAGGATGGTTAAGCAAATCGAAACTTAAGTTTAAGCATTTTAAAAAAGTTTTTATGAAGTTATTCCCTTATAAAATATAAAAATGATTTCTGTAAGAGAATTAGATCATAGATTATCAGGAAATCATATTATTGATAGTATTTTTTTTTTAATTTGAATTTATATAAATAAATTAAAAAAAGTTAATGATATGAAATAAAATTTGATTTTCAAAAATGGATATAATTAAGATTCAGATTAAATTAAATGGTTTTTTGAAATTTTAGAAGAATATGATTAAGAACAAAGGGCAGCTTTTTTATTCTTTACTACTGGATGTTTTAAAGTTCCTTTTGGTGGCTTTTAAAACTTCCGTATTACTATTAATAAAAGTAATAGTGATAAGTTATCTTTACCTGTTTCTCATACTTGCTTTAAGGAATTAGGTATTTAAAAATACATTTTTTTTTATGATTTTTTATTTTAGAGTCACATTAATATCCGAATAAAGAGATTATGAAAGAAAAACTTGATTATTCTTTTAGTAATGGATAAAAAGGATTTTATATAATATGAAATTATATTCTCTATTATTTAATAAATTTTTATTTTTTTTAGTTATAAATTAAATTTTATTTTTATTAATTAAATATTAGAATATTAAAAAAAATTATAATATATATATATATATATATATATATATATATATAGATATATATATATATATATATATATATAAAGAATAAATATTTTAAAGTTATTTTTATTTTATAAATATTTTTTTTATTTATTTCAGTTATTTTTGTTTGGTATTGATTTTTGAAATGATATTTTTTTCATATTTAAATTTTTAGAAAATAATATTAATCTAATATTTTTCATACGATTTAATATAAAAAATATCTTTATAAAAAATATCTTTGTAAAAAATATATAATAAATATCCAATTTTTAATAATAATTTATTTTCCTTATATTAATGGATATTTATTAAAGTTTGTTAATTTAAAACATATAAAAAAATACAACAAATTCAATAAAAAAAATAGAATTATAACGCATATAAAAATAGTTAAGTTTGTGTATACATATATATATATATTCTCATATATAAATAATTTTAAAAATTAAAATTAAAAAATATATATTTAATTTTTATAAAAAAAATCAATAATTTTTATTATTATTTTTATTTAATATACAATAACTTTTTTTACTAACCAAAATAGATATAGGTTTTATTCTTTTTCTTATTTATACCCAAAATTAACGATATTACTTCAGTAAAATTTACCTATAAAACTTCATGGAAAAAAAAAATTAAAATTTAAGAAAAAAATTGATATTATATAAAATTTATAATATTTCTAATAATAAGATATATATTAATTATTATATAATTAATTAAAGATAATTATAAATAATATATATAATATTTATATACTATTAAATCAAAAAAATCAAAAATAATAATAATAATACATGCAATATAATTATAATTTTAATATAATATTTATTTTATTAAAAAAAAATATATTTTTTATTATTATATGTATTTTTTTTAATTTTTATTAAACATTTATCAAAGATTTAAAATATAATTTCTTATTTTTTGTTTAAAAAAAAAGTTCAATACAATTTATTTATAATTATTTTTAATGTTCTATGTATAATTTATTTTTTAACAAGAATATAAATAAATTAGTTTTATCTATTTAATATTATTATTTTTTTTAATTTATATATTTTTATAAAAGATATTTATTAATAATATTTTTTAAAAAAATATAAATTTATTTTTAATATTATTTTTATTTTTATTTTTAAATTTATATTATAATAAATAAATTATTTTTATTAATAATATAAATTATTTATTTTTGTTTTTATTATATACATTTTAATATTTATATGCAAAAAATTTATACATTTTAATTTTATTTTATTCAAATATTTTGTTTAGTTTTTTAATTTACTTATATAACTAATTACTAATTGATTAAAAACATAATAATAAGTTTAAAAATTGAAATTAAGCTTAGACCAAAACTAAAGTCTTTAAAAACATTTAAACTAAAGACATATTAATAAAAAAATATAGACCAAACATTAACAAAAAAAGAGATAAGTAAAAAAAAATTCAATCATGTCTAAAATAAATAAATTAATTCTTTAAAATACAAAAATTAATAAAATTAAAAATTTAATATAATAAATGAAAAATTAAATATATATAAAAAATATATAAATTAATAATTTAGAATAAAATAAAATATTATATATATATTTAATTATTATTTTTTCAACTATTTTACATATTTTATAATAACATATTTCCCATTAATTCATTCAATTTATTACAACCACTTGTTGCTAACGATAATAACTTTTTATTTTTAATATTTAAATATATTAAAATGTCAAGCATTTTACTTTTTAGGTTTATTCTATATTCAAACTTCCTTCAGTTTCCATATACACAATTTTTTTTGTTTATTTTAATTATACAATGCATATTTTTTTACTCATTTTTTAATATTCTTATTAGTTAGGATCAATTAAAGGTATATCTTATACAAATCCCTTTTTCAATATTATATTTTATTTAACCAAAAAAAACTAAATAATAAAAAATTATTTACAACAAAACAACTCGAAAATAAATCTAACATTTAAATTCCTGCTAAATTTAACACAAAACAAGATATATTAATTAAATGAGGAAAAATAGGACCGTTTGACTCTATAATGTCATAAGTTATTAAAATTGTAGATTTTGGGTATTATTTTATGCTTATTAAATCGCTTAATAACTAGAGAATATCTTTTTTTAAAATTATTGATTATTCCTTTTATATTACTTGTATTAATGAATATATTTTTTTATGTACTTATTCATTATAATTTTCTAATTCTTTTTTATTTAAAAAGTTTATTTGATATTTTATTTCGCAATCTTATTATGTAACATTAAAAGCATGAAACGGCCCATTACTTTTTTTAGTGTTTTTTTTAATAAGTGATGAGTATTTTGAAATTTATCTTTTTTTATATTTTACATTGAACATATTATTTTTACGTCTTTAGATTCTAAACAACATCTAGCTGTTGCAGTTCCTTATTATAATTCTGTGAAATCTTATATTTTTTTTTTTATTTAATAATTATTTTAATTTATTTAAAATACTTAGTGGTCTTATTTCAGAAAAGTCTAATCTTTAGGAAGAGTTTTCAATTTACATTTTATTATTTTAATTTAATTGAAATATTTTTTTATCTTTTGAAAAAAAAAAAAATTGTTTATTTTTTTTAGATTTATATGCGTACAAAGTTAATTTTGATTAAAATAAAATTAATAAATAATGTTTTTTTTTATTATTAGTAATTAATAAAAAATTAATTTTTTTAAAAATATATTTATTTTATTATTTACTTTTTTTCTTCAGTTTCATATATACTTCAAAAATAAAAAAAAAGAAAATAAAATAAAATAAAATAAAAAAAAAACAATAATAAAAAAAATATGGCATCAAGTTTTCCTAAACTCCCAGGATATATTCCTACATATCCAATAGATGTAAAATAAAAAAAAGAAGATAAAAATAAATAAATAAAAAAGGAAAAAACATTCAAAAGAAAAAGTGCAGCTAAATAAGAATATAATCGCGAAATTTTACCTAAAACATCCCTCCATAAAACTATCCTTTACCCCGCTAAAAGCCTTAAAATTATCCTGATTAAAAAGGAATGTTCCATCCAGACTATATGTCAACTACACATGACTCATACAGACCAAAAAACGTGCCTGCCGACATTGTGGAATTATACTAACCTTCATTCGTAAAAATGGATAGACATACTTTGCAATTCAAAGCTTATTTTAAAGAAATATGTGTAGAAACAAACTTGGAAAATTACAGAATTAGAAAAGTGATTGTATATTATTATTTAGAAGATGATTCTATATAAGTAAATGAGCCTAAATTAATGAATTCTGGAATTCCTCAAGGTGCATTTTTGAAAAGACAAAAAATTCTAAGGGTAGACGGAAGTGGAACTCATATTAATTTATATGATTTGAGAATTGGAAATGATTTAGAATTATTCGGAAAAATGTTTCATTTTTATGACTGTGATGTATACACTAGAGAGTTCTATGAAAATTTAGGAATTCCTTAAGGATAATCTGAATAGGCTGATTCTGATAATTGGGAAAAAAAAACACTTGCTAAATACATTCCAATTAAAGATTAAATGATGAAAGATTTTATGGAACATAAATTAGGTTTTTTTTAATTTAAAAAAATAAAAATATTATGTTTTTTTATATTAATTAGGTGGTGGAAAAGTGCCTTCAGCTAAATAATTTTTAGAAAATGATAGAAAAGTGTTAAAGTATTATGTTTTTTCAGATATTCCTTATATTATGCATTATTCCTTGCTGATGATACTATTGAAATTAGAGAAATTAACTATTCTAATAGTGGAAGAGACCCTTTCCCATTAATGCTCAGAAGATAAAATTGCCTAAAAAATTTGCTTTGAATTAACCAGGATAAACTTATGCTGAAGAATTTACTAAACCTTAAGATATTACTTTTGGTTAATTTGTTGATGTTTTTGGTAGAAAATTCTAAGTTAATGGATGTGATCCTTATACATAGAATTACTATAAAGAAAAATTAAATATAGATTTTCCTTTAGGACATGGTTATGAATAACATTACAAAGAATTAGCCTGTAATTTATTTTTTAATACTTTCTATTTATAAAAAAATATTTTTTAAAAATTTAATTTTAGAAAGAGAAATACCTCCTTATAATGGATTTGGGGACGAAGAAGATTCATTAGGTTATGTTTATAGATTAATTCCTAAACCACCCAAAAAAGACTTTTTTAAATGGGTTGATAATTAGATAAACCTCAGATTTGTTGCTAAATTTAATACTAATAAACCTGAAGATATTGATAGGTTATTATTATAATTGTTTTATTAAAATATATTTTTTTATTTTTTAGACGATTTATTATTACTTATTATTTAAATGATGAATCTTTATAAATTTATGAACCTTGTGTAAGAAACTCAGGTACTTTTAAATTATTTAATATTTATTTATGTTATTAAAAAAAAAGGTATACCTGATGGCAAGTTTTTGGAAAGAAAGAAATATAAAAATGTTTAAAATAATTCTGAGTTCTTTTTACCAACAGATTTAATTGTAGGAAAAGATATAATTATAAACGGATATTCATTCCATTTATTAGAATGTGATGAGTTTACAACTAAATGGTATCTTAATCATGTTAAGGAGTGATTTAAATATAAAATAATAGAAAATAATATATCAAATATATATATAATATAGTTTACAATAATATAAAATAATTTATATTTATATAGGAAATTTAATTTTTAAAGATTTGAATATATTATATATTTTAAATATAATAAAATTTTATTTAAAAAAAAAATATATATAATGTTAATAATAAAAAAAAATATTTTTAAATTATTTAAGAAAAAAATTAATTCTTATAGTATTTAAATATTATTATTTTAAATTATATTAAATAAAATTATATTTATAATATTTTGATGAATATAAATATATATTTTTATTTAAATTTTTTAATTATCTAATATAATTTAAATATTTATTAAAGTGATAAGATAAAATAATAATTTAAATGTTTATATGTAAAGTAATTTTTTATATTAATTTTAATAAGAAAAAACTAAATATACATGAATATATAATGTGTTTGATTTATATTTTATTTACTAAAAATGTTAGATATTTTCATTAATTTACTTTTTATTTTTTTAAGTTATTATTAACATATTTAAATTTTACAAAAATTTTTTATGAATTTATATTAAAATATGTTTTAATATTATTAAAAGTAATTTTATTAATATAATAAATCTTTATTATCAAACATATATTTTTTTATATCACTTTACTTTATTTTCAACTCTTATAGATTTTAATTATTTTCTTAATTCAAATGTTCTTACTTGCTGAGAGTAAAATTTATATCAGAAGTGTTATTCTTTTGTTAATTAAAAGAATTTTATTATTATTTTGGTTTTTTTTTATAAAAGTGACAAATTATCATTTAAATAAATTTTTTATTATTTTGTAGTTAAAACTTTTTTAAATTTAATTAATTTATTGAAAGAATTTCACTTTCTTAAAATTAAATGAATTTTTATTTCAAATTGTATTTCTTTTTTATTTTATTAAATTAATCCATAGCTTTTTTTTAAAAAAATATATTAGTTATTCAATTAATTTAATTGCTTTATTATAAAATAAGTTTTAAATGAACTTATTTATTTTTTAAACTTTATTAATTAAATATATTATTATATTATTTTTTTATTTTAAAAAAAAATTAATTATATATTTATTAATTTCATTTTATTATTATATTTTAATTAAAATAAAACTATTTATATATATTAAAATTATAATTTTTATTTAAATAAAATTTTTAAAATAAAATAAATACCTATTTTATTATATATAAAAAGTATTTTTTTTATACAGATAAATAAAAAACTTTGAATATTTATATATAAATTTATATATATGTATATATTTTAATATAATCTAAAAGAAAGATAAAATTAATAAGTAAATCATGTTTTTTTTACATTAGAAAATAATTTTTCATATTTAATCTCTTTTTTAATTCATTAGAAGCTTATTTTATTTAATTTTAAGCATATTTTCATCTAAACCTTTAATTAGAGTTCCAACTAAATTGAGACTTTTTCCGAATCCAATATTTGTCATTTTTAGTTTATTAATATTTTTATTAAAGATATTTTTGAATTTTTCATTAATTATTTTTTTACGTTTACTATTTTCTATCTGCATTTTTTATATTAAAATTTATATACTTTCTTCCTCTAAAATTTTATTTTTCTAAACTATTATTATTAGAATCAATAACATAATTATTTAGCTAAGCCTTAATAATTGAAATTTCCGATAAATTATTATTTAGTTGAGAAGAAGAAGTAGAAACTGCAGAAATATTATTATAATTTTATTCACTTTAATTATTTTTATTATTATTTTCTTAATATTTTTTATTTTTAAATTATTATACAAACAATTCATTTTCCATTTCTTTATATATTTTATTTAAAAAATATTTAGAAATATATAATAAATAATATTTTTTACCTTTAATTTATTATTTTAATCTTTCTATACTTTCTATATCTTCTTAATGACAGGCTTTATTTTCTTCTAAATCAGTTTAAATTAAAGCTAACTATTCTAATGTAGAATCTATTTTTTATTCCAAATCATTATTTAATTATTCCAAACCTCTTTTTTTATTTTATTTTTATTTATTTAAGTTGTTTTACCTATTTTGTTATTCAAAATAAGCATTTTCGTTTTCTAATTAAACTTGTTTTTGTCTTTCTTTTTTATTTGCAGATTCTAGTTTTTATATTTTCTCAGTTAAAAAGTCTATCTTATTTTCTAAAGATTCGTTTGCTTTTTCACTTTTTTCCAAAAGCTATTAAGTTACTTCAAGCTCTTTTTCTAAAAGATCTTCAATTTCTTATGCTTTTTCTTTTTTATTTTATAATAATTAATTTATTATAATGTTTTTTATATAATAATTGATTTTTACCTTTTTAAGATTTTAATTCTTATTTTAAAATTTCTGTACTTTGTTTTTCAGATTCATATAGTTATTTATAATCTATCATTTTTTTTTGATTTTTGCTTATTTTCTTTAAGTATTTATGTAAAATATTATTATTTTTTTAATTTTTAAATTAAATATTTTGTTTGAAATTATTATTAAAATTTTATTATTATTTTTAATAAAGAAAAAAGTATTAAAATTCACAAAAAAATATTAAAAAAAAATGTTAATAATTAACAAAAATCATCTAAAATATTGATAAAAATTATAATTTTAATAAGTTATAATTTTTATTTCAGTTTTATTTTAAAATATATATTAAATGCCTATTAAATTTTAATATAAATTTTCAATTAGTATTTTTAAGATCTAATATAGATAGACTAATTTGAAAAATTTCAACTTAAGAAATACATATATATTTCTTATAATTTTTTTTACAATTTTTTTTATTTTTAAAAAAAATCTTTATAAAAGGTAAAACAAAATAATTCAATAAATAAATACCAAAAAAAAAAATGCAATTATAATAATAATAATAATAATAATCGTAACTTTCTAAAGTTACATTAAAGGATTTATAATAATAAAATAAAAAATCTTTATTAGAAACAGCACAAGAGATTAAATAAGGTTAACATAGTAATAATTAGAAAGGTATTTTTAAAAAACAATAAAAATTGATCAAAAAATATTTTTAAATATTTATAAATCCATAGATTAGAAAAAAAATGTTGAAGAAAATAAAGAATAAGAAATAGATAATTTGAATTTTATGACAGTAGTAAAAAACACAGCTTTGAGTGGTTTAATAGAAAAAAAGATTAAATAAAAAAATAGTAAAGCCAACGTAAAATTAAATTTTGCATATTTTATTTAAATAATTTTTTTTTATTTTAAATAATACAAATAAATTAAAAGTTGGAGAATTCCTTCTGAATTTCTTAATTAAAGCGAATACGAATCTTAAAAAATACTTCGAAAATATAAAATTATGTTCGAAGGAATTAATGTTCCTCCTCCAATTTAAACTTTTGAAGTACATAATTTATTATATATATTACTATTTTTTTAATTAAAAATATAAAAAAAGTAAATGAAACTTCCATCAAAAATATTATCAATTTTAAAAGATAAAAAAATTAAAAAGCCAACTCCTATATAGATAGTAGGTTTACCAACAGTGTATAAAAATATATACATATATATGTATTAATTTTTATATTTTTTTTTTTTAAAAAAAAGATTATTAGCAAGAGATATGATAGGTATTGCACCTACAGGCTAAGGAAAAACATTAGTATTTTTACTTCCAGCTTTAATAATGGCAATAGAATAAGAATTGAACATGCCAATAATGAGAAATGAAGGTCCATTAGCATTAATAATATTACCTTCAGTAAATTAATAAAAATAATTAAATAAAAAAAAAAAATATTAAGCACGAATTAGCAATATAAACATATGAATTTGCCTTATATTATTCTAAAAAATTAAATGAAGCCGGCTATCCTGAACTTCGAGTATTATTAAGTATAGGAGGAATGGATATGAATTAATAAATTTAAGAAGCTCGACATGGAATTCATTTTGTAAAAAAAAAAAAAAAAAAAACTAAAAAAAAAAAAAATTAGCTTATCGGAACTCCAGGTAGAATGTCTGATATGGTAGATAAAGGAAAATTTAACATGAATATTTGCAGATTTGTAGTTTTGGATGAGGCTGATAGACTTCTAGATATGATTTTTGAGAAAGAAGTAAGAAATTTGATTGAACATATACCCGTAATAATATATATATATTTTAATTTTTATATTAATTTAATTAAGATATATAGGGCGCAAGATAAACTCTTTTGTTTTCGTCTACAATGCCCAAAAAAGTATAAGATTTTGCGAAATAAGCATTAATTAATCCCATAATAATAAATGTAGGAAGAGCTGGTTCTGTGAATTATAATGTAATATAAGAAGTAGAGTATGTAAAGCAAGAAGAAAAGCTTTAACATTTAATTAAATGTTTACAAAAAACAGCTCCCCCAGTTCTTATTTTTTGTGATAAAGTTTAAGATGTAGACGATATTCATGAATATTTTTTATTAAAAGGAATAGATGTTACAGCCCTACATGGACAAAAAAGTATTTATTTAAAAAAATAAAAAATAAAAACATTAAAATAATAAATATTGTATATAGAATAAGAAGAAAGAACTAAAGCTATGAAAGATTTTTAAACAGGAAAAAAAGACGTTCTTATTGCTACTGATATAGGTGCTAAAGGACTTGATTTTCCAAATGTTTAACATGTTATTAATTTTGATATGCCTAAAGATGTATTGATATATTTATTTTTATTTTTTAATTATAACAAAAAAATAAGATTGAAAGCTATGTACATAGAATAGGTAGAACTGGAAGATTAGGAAAAACAGGAAGATCTACTACTTTTGTGAATAAATTATAAGATGAGAATATTTTAAGTGATTTAAAAATGCTTCTTATTGAAGCTAAACAAGCAATTCCACAATTTCTTAATCATTTAGCATAGGATACTTTCACTGGAGGATGTAGTTATTGTAGTGGATTAGGACATACTATACATAATTGTAATAAATTAGAATTATAAAAAATGAAAGCATTAACAGCTTCAGCAGCTTAAAATTTAAAAGAAGAAATAAAAGCTTATTTACCTGAAAAAAAATAATAATGATGATTTAGTTTTTTTTATTTTTTTTTTAAAAAAATTAATATTTTAAACAAAATAAGCGTATAGTTATTAAGAAAAATAAATAAATAATATAAATATATATTTTAATAAAAATATATAATAATATATATGTATTTAATTTTTTATCTTTTTAATTTTTTTAATAATTTAATTAAAAAAAATCATTTATAAATAAATTTATGAAATTAATAGTTATATCATTTGTTAATTCTATTATAATATTTAAAAATAATAAATATTAAAATTATAAATAATTAAAAAATTCAAATATTAAATAAGTAATTAAAGCCAAAATTTGTTTGCTAAAGGGTATCTACTACTAATTAATATATATTATAGTTTCTCAAAATAATAGAAAAAAGTAAAAAAAATTTTTTTTAATATTACTTAATTTAATATTATTATATATTTTATTCAACTTTATTATAATTGAAAATTATTATTACATTCTTTTACATATTTTTTTTTATATTATTCTCAATTTTTTTTTATATTATTCTCAATTTTTTCTTATTTTTTAACTTTTATTAATTTTTTATAATAAAAAAGTTGAAAATATAAATTATAAGTAAAAATTTAAACAAATACTAAATTTTATTTAACAAAAAATATTTAAGAATAATTAAATTGACAATAATAACTTGTTTTTTTTATAATATAATATTTATTTTTTTAATAATTATTTTAAATTATTATTATTATATAAAATATATTATAAATTTTAATTTATTATATATTTTATTAAGTTTCATAAAATAAATCACGACCTTAAATTATTTAAATCTTTTTATACAATAATATTTAATATTCATATATTTTTTTATATTTTTCTATTTTTTAATTTATAAAAAATAAAATTTAAATATTTTTTTTTAATTTAAATAACAATTTATACACATATATTATATATTTATATTAACTAATAAATAAAAATACATAAAATGGTTAGTGCTTGGTCAATCGGTTTAGCAAAAAGAGGTAATAATTTTGAAAACAATATATAAAAATAGTTATATATTTCAATAACAATAATTTAATTAATTAAAATAAAAAAGGTAACTTAAACGGCTCCTAATTTGTTCCTGTATATATGTTTATTAATTTATTTTTGAAATATTAATTTTTAAAAAGGGTCCAGGAGCATATACAGTAGAAAAGAAATAGAAAGTAATTCCTCCTAATTGGAAGTTAATATTATTATATTAAATAATACTATATAAAAATATAATTATAAAATTTCTAGATTTGGCACATCGAATAGATCTGGTTTTAGGGCAACTTAAAATCCTGGTCCTGGATCGTAAAAATTCAAATAATATATTTATTTTATAATTAAAAAAAAAAAAAAAAATTGATAATATAGATACTTGATTTCTTCAAAAGTATTTAAAAAAAAAATATTTATATTTTTTATGAATATATTTATCTTAAAATTATAAATAGAATATAGGAGCAAAATTTTCAATAGGTAGAGAATAAAGAGCTGAAAAATCTACTTTTGGTAAATTAAATTATTTTAAAAATAAAATAACAATATAAAAAAAGTACCTGGTCCAGGAACTTATAATCCAAATAAAAGTAGTTGTCAAAGCCCTCCTTAATATAGTATGGGAATGAAATATAACCATTTAGATGGTAGGTTTTAACCTGGACCCGGAGCATATAATCATAAATCAACAGTTTTAGGAGTACCTTCAATGAAGTTAAATTTAAAAAATAAAATAAGCAAAAAAAAAATACTTTTTAATAATAAAAGATTTCCTAAATCACAAAGAGGAACTCTTAATTAATCAACTAATAATCTTGGACCAGGACCAGGAAGTAAATTTAAAATTGATTTAATATTATTATTTTTAAAATAAAAAAAAAGATTATACAAATGTAAGACCTTAATCAGCATCACCACTTTATGGTATTTAAAAATAAAAATTCAGAAATAAATAAAAATAAAATTTATTCTTCCTTTAAAATAAAATTATTTATTTTTAATATTCATAATTTAGGTTTCGGCACTAGTTAAAGAAACGGACTTTATTAATCAAAATATACTCCAGGACGTATATATTTAAAAATATAAAATTGATTGAAAAAATAAATAAAAGCTGGACAATATGAACTAAAGTCAGCTATTGATTTAAATAAGGGAGTAACAATGATCTCAAGAAGAGGAAACATTGCTTAAAATGAAGCAGCTAAAGTTCCAGGACCTGGAACCTATAATCCTTAAAATAAAAATAAATTAAAATAGCCAGCATTTAAGTAATATTAATATTATTAAAAAAAAAAATATGTATATACTTAAATATAAAAATTTTAGGATAGGAACTTAAACAAGGGACTCAATTGATTAATAATTTGGTAAAACGCCAGGACCAGGAGCGTAGAATAATATTTTTATTTTTCTTTTTACAAAAAAATTGAATTAATATTAAATAGCTATTCTCCAAGAATTGAGGCAAATAGAATTTCTTCACCTCATTATGGATTAGGAACTGATACTAGAAAACCTCTTAATTAATGCTAGGAAAATCCTGGACCTGGATCATATGAAGTTCGCCCAAAAACAGCTGAAGGCCCAAAAGTATTTTTATAAACTTATTTTTTTAAATTCCATTTATATATTTAATATAAAAAAATATAATAGCTTTCTTTTAAAGGAGTTTAAGGTATAGATGCTATTGAAAGAGAAAAATAAAAAGTTCCAGGACCAGGATCTTATTAACCAACTGACTATTTCGTGAAGGAAAGACCTGGATCAGCAAAGTGATTTTTTTATTTAAATATTTTTTATTTTTTATTTTTTATTTTTTAAGAATCGGTACTTCCCTTAGACCTTAACTATATTAATCAAAAGATAGCCCAGGACCTGGATATTATAATTTTAAAGGCCTACCTTATGGTATTTACTTTTTAATAAAAATATTAAAATCAAAATAGGACCTAAATGGGGATTCGGATCAGGTTAAAGAGATTTATAAAGAGGAAATGATGAACCAGGTTTTTAAATAAATATGTTTTTTATTTAAATTTTAAATAAAAAAATAATAATAAAAGGACCTGGAAGTTATAATATTCCAAATACTGTTGGTGATGTTCCAAAATTTATGATGAATAGTAATCCAAGATCATATATGCCTTGAAAATAATAGAGAAAAATAATATAATATTTTTTTTAAAAAAAATATAATAAGTATTATTTATAAACATACATTTTTATAAATTATTAATATTTATTATAAATTGTTTTTTATATTTTTTTATTTTAATTATATTTTTTTTTATTATTAATGTAATTATATATTATTTTACTTAACTTAGAATATATATAATTTATTTATATTTTTTTAAATAATATAAAATATTTTTTATAAATAAAATATATATTATAAAGAAAAAAAATTTAAAATTTATAATATTTTTATATTGATTAAATAATTATTTATATTTTAATTTTATTTTTATATAAATTATTTTTTTGAAAAATAAATTTAATTATTAAAGAAATAAAATATTGATGGTAAAAAAAAATAGCATATAAACCATATAAAAATATTAATTATAATAATAAATAATATTCTCAAACATTACATTTAGATTCAAAACCTGACATGCTTTAGCTTAATTTAATAGAAATTTCTACAATCTTAGAAGCGTGTAATTAGTTTTATAAAAAATCCTAGCTTAGCTAAATCATACTTTAATTTAATTAATCACAATTTAAATTAGAGTCGTTCTATTTTCTTAACTTTTTGGTAGTATCTTCATCAGCACAATCTTCATAAAACATCGGATAGCCAGCTCCTCTTCCATAAGTAGCAATTGGTTTTTAGCAAGAAACTCCAATATCTGTGTATCCTTCAGGACAATCAGGTGAGCAAATACAGCAACCAACAGGATGGAAACCAGGTTTGCATTTAGGATATATTAGAAGCCCACTCTTTTTTTATATTAATTATATATATATAAAAAAATAAAAATAAAAATACTTTTTCACAACCATATTAAGAATTATCTTTTTCACATCTTTATAATGCATTATTTAGATTGAATGAATCTCCGAATTTCCAAGCATAACCAGCCCCACGTCCATAAGGAGCTGCTTTTGCGCAAAAAAGTCCTTAGTCAGTAAATCCTTGAGGGCATAATTATGCACATAAACAACATCCTACATTATATTGACCTTCAGGACATTTAGGATAGGCAATAGCTCCGTAAGGTTCACATTTTTTTTATTCTGCTTCTTCACATCTTTTTAATGCATCAGTTAAGCAATTAGCATTTGAGCATTCTTTCATTAAAGGCTAGAGGCGGCCTGCTACTTTTCCGATATCGGTTATTATGCTTGAGACTTATTTAGACATACAAGAGGTTATTAATTTTGTTATATCTTCGACAGCGTTACCTATTTCGCCGACACAACGTAAAATGTTGCCTTGGAGAGGTTGAGGAGGGGTAAAAGTTAATGCAAAAGTAAGGAAAAGGGATATTAATATAAGTTTATTTATAATCATTTTTTATGCTTTTTTTTTTTTAATTTTTTTTTTAAATTATTATTATTATTAAGATATTTAAATATATTTTTCTTTGTATTTATGGTCAAATTTAAATTGATGATATCTATATTTCTTTTATATATGGTTTTAATTATTTTATTTTTTTTCCTTATTATATTATATTATATTTAAAACAATTGTTTATAATTAATTTTTTATTAAATAAAATATTTTTGATAAATTTAAATACGTTAGATAGGAAATTTACAAACCATATTTGTTGAATTTATATTAAAATTATTTTAATTGATTTATAAAAACATAAATATATTTAATTTTATAAAATTATTAATGTTTTAAAATATTTTCTATTTTTATTTATAAAATATAATTAATATGTATTTTTTTAATTATTTATTATTATTTCTTTATCGAATAATTTATTTTAATTTTAATTTTATTATTATGTATTATATTTTTTATCTATATTATATTATATTATCTTTATTATTCATAATATTATTATATTTATTTAATATAATCTATAAATTTTATATATATTTTTTTATTTTTCTAAAAATATTTATTTATTTATTAAATTATTGTTTTTAATATTTCTTTTATTATTATTTTTCTAATAAAATAAAAAATCAAAAAATAGAATGTTATTTATATTTAAAAATATACCGATAATTAATTTAAAATTATTAACTTAATTAAATTAGAATATTAAAAAACAATAACGATTTATAATTTAAATAAAATGTCATTAAGATATTCCTTAAACAATTAATATTAATCTACTAAACAAAGCAGAGAAAAATGTGAAGACTAAAATAATTAATAATATTCGGTTGAAAAAATACTTGACTCTCGTATAAACCCTGAAACTAAAAAATATGAATATTTAATAAAATGGGAATGTAAATATTTTATTTTTTTATTAAATAATAAAAAATAAGATTATGGAATTGATGAAAGCACATGGGAACCTTAAGAAAATCTCTATAATGTTCAAAGCCTTATAAAAAAATATGAAAAAAAATAAGCTAAAAAATAATTTAAAAAGATTAAGAGCTTAACAATAAAATAAAACGATAACAACAATAAATACCAAGAATAATAATAAGGTAAATAAATTTAATAAGACTATCAATTTGAAAACTAAAACTAAAATTAAAAGAATAGAAATTTATTTATTTGTCAGTACGATAAGAATAAAAAAAGTGTTATAAAAAATATTAAAGAAGAAATAGATGATAATGATGAAAAAGAATATATATTTGAGAAAATTGTAGATAAAAAAGAAGTAGAAAAAGAATAAATGTATCTAATTAAACTAAAAGGTAAAAATAATATAATTTTTAAATATACAAATTATAAACCTTTATTATAAATTAAAAAAAAGATTTACAATAACTCATATGGATTCCTTTGGAAGATTTACGAGTTTTAAAGGAAGAAGTTAAATTATTTGATGAAAAAATGCTTAATGAATAATAAAAAAATAATTCGAATGAAAATGAAGGTAATGAAATATAGTTTATAAGAAAAGAAATATACTATGATTCTAAAAATATATCTAGTTAAATAAAAAAAAATTATAACTAATACCCTTATTTTCAAAAACATTAAGAAATTAATAAATTAAATGAAAAAATTAATTTATTAGAAACTTAAAAATTATATGATAATGTAAAATTAAAGTAGGAAATATAATAAAAATGTTTTGTCAAATAGAAAAGAAGTTTAGAAGATTTAGAAGAAATTACTTTAGGAAATTTCAAAACAGACAATATAGAAAAAATTGAAATTGAAAATGAAAATGATAAAGATTTAAAAAATTGTAGATTTGAAGTTTTTTGGAAAAAAAGAAAAAATGGAATTAAACCTTAATCAGCTTTTTATTCTTTATCTTATTTAAAATTAATAGATTCAAATATTATTATAGAGTATCTATTCAAAAAACTTAATGATAGTAAAAAAAATATTAAAAGAAATAGATATTGATTTATATAGAATAATAATATATATAAATATAAATATAAATATAAATAAAAATATAAATATAAATATAAAAAATAATATAATTAATTTAAAACTAAATTATATAATATTTATTATTTTTTATATATTATATAATTACAATTATATTAAAATATTTTTTTTTTTTTAAAATCATCTATATATTTTTTGGTTAATTTTATATCCCATTCTCTTTTTATAATATTAAGTTTTAAATATATCTATTTTATTTATAAATATAATATTTCTAATATAATTTTTTTTTATTAATATTATTCTTTATTTAGTTTAAATTATTATTAATATAATCCATACAATTACAATTATATCTTTTGTTTTGTTTTGGTGAATTCTTACCAAACATCACATCACTTCATTTTTTTTTTTTTTTTATTTTTAATTTTTCTTATGGAATGAGATATAGCCTTTAACTAATATATTATTATCAAAAGAAATTATTAATTATCATTATAAAAAGATATAAAAGTAGAATTTTTTTCGCGTATTTTTTTATGGATAAAATTAAGAAAATTATTATAAGACTGATTTATGTTTTAATTTTTGTGTGTACATTTTTAGAAAAAATGGCTTTTTTTTAGAATTTCTAATTAATTATTTTTATTCATTTATATTACTTCATAAAATGGAATTAGGCTAATTTAAAATTTTTGCAAATTCATTTTTTTTCATTCTTATCACTTATAAATTATTTTTTAAATAAGAAAAACTTCCTTTACTATTTTATTAAAATTATAAATACTTTTTCTTTTTTTCTTTTTATACCAAACCTATATAAATCATTTAAATTAAATTAATTTTAAGTTTTTAGCAAACTAAAGGAATATATATAATTAAGAATAATGCCTTTATTGAATTTACTTATTCTAGTCTTACATAATATTTTTTTTTTAATATACCGTAATTATTTTTAAAATGTCTTATTGTTTGTTCTACACATATAATTATGAGTTTATCTGCAGTATTTATTTTAATTTAATATATATAAGTATATCTCTATAATATATATTTCAGTTCCAATTTTTATATAATGTTTTTATGACTAAATATTTATATTATCATCTTTTAATTAATCATTTAAAATACACAAATTTTCGAAATTATATTCTGAGTTTTACTATATGACTTCAATAAAATTATCTTTTTTAACTTTTTACATGCTGGATAATTCAATACATTTTACAATTGCTTTTTTTGATTTTCAAGTAAAAAAGTAAAATACTAAGATAATTACTTTCTAATTTTTTATTTTAAATTGTATTTAAGAACTTCCTTTAAATATAAATTTCAATGTCATATTATTGCTATAAAGTGGGCTGCTATAACTACTATTATTAAAAGTTTTATTAAGAACAAGAAATATCTGTTTTTTTGTTTCAAAGCAACTGCTTATTTAAGTCATTTTATTTTAGTAATTTTAGTAGAAAACTAAAAAAAACTTTAAAATATAAGAAAGTTTTGAAATTATGGTTACACACTTATTAAAAATATATAAACATGAAAAAATATTCGATATTATATAAAAAAATTAATCTTGCTTTAAATATTAATGCAGATACACAGAATAAATATATATAAACACATATATATTTTTTATATATAATTTTAAAATTTATAATAAGTTTCATGTTTTTTTCTTTATAAAAATTTAAGTATTTAATAAGTAAAATCTTCAATTTTTTATGTTTTTCAAGTTTTATATATATCTTTATATATAAAACTTGATAAACTTATATAATGTTATAAATTGCAAATAATATTTTTTTTTCTTTAAATAAAAATAAATATTTATATTTATTTTAATTAAAAATATTTTTTTTTGGCATTAATTTAAAAAATTATATAAGTTCTTTAAAAATACAATATAATATAAATTACTATAAAATCTTTTGATTAATAAATTAAAACTTTAATTTAGTAAAATAACAACTAATGCTTATTTGATTAAAAACAATAAAATTCATAAAAAAATATAGAAAAATTCATAAAAAAATAATAACAAATATTACATAAATTAAATTATAAGTATTATGTATGCAAAAATCGTATTTTATTTATAAAACTTTGAATTATTTTAATAATTTTTTTTATAATATATATTTTTTTTTTATTTATTTATAATTATCAAAATAAATTAAATATAATATATATTTTCTTTTCATTTAAAATATTTTTATTTATTAATATATTTAATAAATATTTTTTGTTCTTTTTATAATTGAAAATAAAAAAGCATTAAAATTTTTAAATAGTTATAAAAAACCTAAACGAAGTATAATAGTTTAATATATACTTTCAAAAATATATAAATAAAAAAATAATTTAAATGAGATTAAATATTATTATATATATTCAAATAATGCTTTTTAATCTAAATTTATAAAATAAGTTATAAACAAGTAAATTTAAATTAAAATTATGTAAATTACTTTATGTATATTTTATCTCCACTTTTTTGTTTCAACATATTAACAAATATAAAACTGCAAAACTTACAATTAATAAAATCCGAATACTTGTAATTAATGTTAATCTAATTATTATTTAACAATAAATAATGATTTTTGTTTGAATTCAATAACAAATTGTATTCTATATAAAGACCAATAATTTTGTTCTAAATGTATTTCGCCTTTTGGAGTTTTTAATCAAAATTAATGCATTAATACGATTCCTTATTGTACTCTTTATTATTAAGGAGTTTCTAATAAATGTTTAGCGTGTGATGAATCAAATTTATATTTTTTGGATGTTGAATAAACTAACTGTTTTAATACAATAAAAAATTGTAAGATTTATTAAAATTAATTTTTATGTTTAGAATGTTAATGCGGATATTAAATATAAAATGCTTCTTCCTCTTGTCAAGATATAAGAATTTAAAACTGTGAATAACTTTAATGCATTTAAAATACTTAAAAATGCCTCAAGTGTATATAAGATTTCGGATATGATTAATAAGGCACTTTCTGCTCAAATTATGT